GATGGAAGTTAAGCGATGCACTGCAGCCGAAGCAGCAGCAGCAGCATCGGGCAACAAGTGGAGCGCGCGCCGTATAAACGAGCATTGATTACGGTTTCTTTTTATTTTCGGATTTATTAGACGCACGTCATCGTCGTCGTCGGGGATCTCGTGTGCACTGCCTGCAGAAATGCAGTGTGTGCTCGACACAAGTGGCAGTATATGTACGCGGCATTTAATGAGGGGGTTAGGCTGCCTGCACCGCGTCAAGCGCAGGCAAATTACGATTAATCATTTTTTAATTCCATCTAAACGATCGCGGATATTATATGAAATTTGTGCGTGCGCCTGTTACTCCGCTCGAGATGCGCACATTTTCGCGCGCGAGCTCTCGTGCAGAGGAACGAGAGAGAGATAATGTAATACCGGTTTTCGATGAATTTTGCGCGCCGCTGACTTTTTTTCTTTTCTTTTCTTTTCCACAAAAAAGAGGGAAAGAGAGAGAGAGAGAAAGAAAAGAGGTGAAAGGAATCACATGGTATATAATAATAACAATGTATAAACATGTCATCCTTGTATCGATTATGTATTTTTTCATTCTCAACACCTTATCGATCGCCACTTTCAGACTCGAACCTTCTCTGCATCACGTTTTTTGACTCATTCCTTCTTTTTTTTTCTTTTTTTCATGTTTTTATGGAAAAAAGCAAAATATTCCAAGAATTCGCTGGTTACACCAGTCATCTCACGAGAGCATAGGCAAATAAAAGGAAAAGATAACGGTAGATTATACACGAGGCGCTCTCAGTGTGCAGCATATAGCTCCATTTCTTCCAATTTTTTTCTTTTCTTTCTTCCTCCTACTATACTAATAGTCTTCGGGTATATGCAGGCCGGCTCGCGTATATGCAGCTTTGTAACTTTCATCGTAAATGTATAATATACCACGAGAGCTGTGCACAGGAGGTTTCTCATTTTTCGGCTAATTTTCTCTGTTTCTCTCTCCCTCGCAAATATACGCTGCTGTACGTACGTAGGTACATACACATATATAGCACGGTGTGTCGCGCGGGACTTTTCGTGGGAAGATTGCCCGCGAGAGATGAAAGATACATAATACGGGCCGCGCGCGCGCCTCGTGGAAAGTTGTCGTTCGTCGTTACTCGTCGTCATAATATAATGACACACGCTCGCGAAATTGTAGCAGAGCTAGAGCTCGTCGAGCCTCGAAGGAAAGAATAAAATGGCCTTTTCCGGTTTTATGTACGTGTGTGTGTGTGTATCTTCGAAGCGGAGACTCTGCTGCTGCGCTGCACTCTGCACAGGGTGCGTTTAGTCTATACGCCGCGAGACGACCATACGTAAGAAAAATATCAAATTCGCTCCACGTGCTATATCGCTCGGCGCGAAAACTCGTTTCGCGCGCGCGCGGAGCATTGACGTTCACGTGTACATGTAGGAAAGTATTACAGTTAGTATTTTATACATACAGACACACATTATATATATACGAACTGCACTCACACACACACACATAGGCAAAGAGTCTGTGGGCCGCTGCAGTGCAGCAGCAGCGGAGAGCTCGCACAGATTCGCCATGCCATGTGCCGCATATATACAGCTCATAAACATTATTATATATGTGTGTGTGTGTGTGTTGTGTGAGTATGCCCGCGAGAGAAGGCAGGTAAGGCACAGCTGCAGGTATACACATATACACGAAGCACATAATATAACGTTCACTCTATATCGCGTAGCTCACAAGGTGGATACACGTCTATAATATTGTGCCGCGCTCCGTATGGAGAGCACGGCCGCACTAATCCCGGAGAATAGATTAAAATCTCCTCAAATTGACACACGCTGTTAAACGTGCGCAAATACATACATACATGCATGCATACGCCAAAGATGACGGCGACGGCCGACGATGTGTGGTGCATATGCACTTTCGAAAATCGCCGAGAATATATAAGCGAGCTCGCGACTCGATATTTTTCGCATTGTGCATATTTTAGCGTGTATAACGCGTGCATACGCGTGCAGGCTATTATTCGCAGAGAGAATGAGAAAAGGAGGAGGAGGAGGAGAAGAGATGGGGTGGAAAGGGGGGGACTCTCTTAGTAATGCACGGCGTCGATTGTTTTCGTTTTGTCAACGCGTCGAATAGCCGTAACATACCACTATAAAGTATCGCGCAAAACTGGTCAGAAATTGAATATACGTGCCGATCGCACTCCTCACGTTGGCGCACGTAATTTTCTCGACTCACGATATTATGCAGCGACGATCATCGTCGTTCGCACGTTATAGCTCGTATTTACCGCTCTTGTAATGTGCATTATAATACAGCTCCTATCTCCGACTACAACAACAACGACGCACAATCGATAGGATATTTTAATATAACGAGCCGCAGGTATACATAAAAAAGAAAAAGAGAGTGAGAAAATAGCGAGAGGATACGAGCTGCGGGCGGTAGTTCGGGCACGCGGATCACGCGCGCGAGGCCCGCGTAATAGCTCGCGCGACTTCGGCAATCGTCGTCTCTGTGTATGAAGCAAGATACGATTTGAGAAGTGCGCTATAGGCTTGCGTAATTGCGAAAAGCGATTATTTCAAATATTTTCACTTTAGCGCGGATAATTGACGTTTGACTCATCTTACATTGGAAAATTGCACAGCTATCTGCATGGGCCGAGAGACAGATGGAGAAAGACTAATCAAAACGCCATGGATTATTTTTCGTTCGGCACGCTTATGTATGCTTATGCTGCAGCGGCAATTTGAATGCGGGAAAAACCGTAACGCGTTCGCCTTCGACATACATATAGGTAGTATATAGGCCCGAGAACGAAGATGATCCCTGCACTGATTTCTATTCGCTTTTCTTTATTTATTTGTGTGTGTATAGTGCACCCTTGAACTTGCTTGGTGTGCAGCTCCGATGCAAAATTGAAACTTTCGAAAAGCGATACAGGTCACCGCACACACACACATGTACCTACATACGCATTCGGAGCCGCTGTCAAACGTCGGCAATGACATATCCACACGGCAGAAAAATAATGTAATCGTCAATCGGCTGACTCGAGCTCATGTTTGGCATCTATACATACAAACATCGATATAGACATGTGTTGCGGCTCGTGTATATAACACATACACACTATAGCGATTCACCTGTCATCGCGCGCGCGGCCAACAGATATACACAAGTGAGGTAGCTTCGCGTCGAGTCATGGCCAGAAAACGGAGTGCTGTATATCTATCTCTCCCATATATAAAATACGCCTCAACTGGTGAAAAGTAAGATGGAAAAAAAGCTGCTGCTGCCGAGTACGAACGAGTATATAGCAGCAGCAACAGCTACGAAGAGCAACTTAATATCGGTATCCGGTCGGGTATTATCGATCGATTCAGCAGTCAAGCTTCCGGTCGTGCTCGGAAATGGAAAACTGCATCTGGAGTTACACTCGATCGAGCTCTGGCTGCTGCTGGTGGTTGTGCTGCTGCTGCTGCACTACCTGCCTCTGACTCCCATTTGGCCTAGTGTGCGCGCCGATGTAGGTTAAACTGCCGATGATTTCGCGATTATAAACTTTCTGCATATTATTGAGCCGATCTGTATCTGTGCCTCCTATATACATACGTGTATACGCGTTTGGTGTTTTACCCATAAATACAACATACACACACATAGCCGGAACAGTAATCGAAATCGTTCGCTACACATATTTTCACCGCACTGGAGAACACGGAACAAGCAACGACGACGAAAAAAAAATCCTATCTATCCGGCCATTCATATAACTTACGCGTATGTGTATTATATACGCGTGCTCGGTATACTAGACTATACGGACAAGACGACGACACCGACGACGAGATCGTGATAGGTGCGCAATTACTTTCATTGCTCTCGATGCTTAAGCGAGTAGTCGTCGTCGAGCAGCGGAAGTCGTGCGTTTACCTATAACTCCGCACGCACGAATGTGTATAATACCTAGGCGCTAGACAATGTATATGATACGTCACAAAGTATATACGATAATAAAAGCTCGACTGCGCGTAAAAAAAACAGAGCCGCACACAAAGCGGTAAAAAAATGATGACGATTACTCGCGCGACTTGCGTATACGTATTACTACATCGCGATACTGCACATACACACACACGTACATTTAAATTGTACCGTTTGGACAGAAAAAAAGGGTGCGCGCGTGTACATAATAATAACTTCTCCAAAGTGCTCGGCTCGTATATGCACTGATTTGCCTATCGTTATGTATGCATATATTTTCTTCCTCCTATATATATCGATGTGTATAATGTACGTTGGTGCGTGCCGCGGGTAGGTAGGTACATGTGTGCATCCATGCAGGATGATACTACGTGTACGTGCACTGCTACATTTTGCTCTAGCGCAATCTGCTGCTGCTCCTCCGCGAGTAGTAGTAGTGCGCTGAATAATACATATATAGGATGTTCCTTATATACATAGTGGCGCGAGGAGGAGGTTCAAGGTCGGCCGACGACTATATACTTTATAATGCATGCTGCCTATATAGGTATCTACTACTACACACATACGCTCGCGGGGCCTCATCTATGCGCACGAGTGCACGCTCGTACTCGGGGCCTCCTCTACGTATAAGTACACTCTTTTGCACGACTCGTCGTCTCTTTCTCTCTCTCTCTCTCTCTCTTTCTCTCTTTCTCGACTCCTCTTCTTCTTCGTCTTCTTTTCTCTCTGCACTTTTTGCACTCTATATGCGAGTACAGTGGCGGCTAGTATGTATTTTCTAATGCGCGCGTATATATATATATGTGTATGTATACGTGCGTAAGCGTACGTGCGTATACACGTTTACGCAGACACGACGATCCGTGGCGCGCAAGCTAGCCAAGAGGCCAATAACCCTTTCGCAGACACATACCCCCACACACACACACTCCATGTACGTAGATATGATGCGTGCAGGTGCAGCAGGTAATACCTATACAGAACTAGTACTCACCCATGTTAGAAAAATCCAGTTGGCCAGCAGCACCGGCTGCAACACTGCTTCTACTGCTCGGGTACATGATCTCGGGGGGGCTGCCGGGCACGATCGTCTTCTATCGTTGCTGTACACGCCGCGATTGGCAGAGCTCGATTCTAGTCGATCTTACGAGCTATTGTTTTATGTATTTGTATGTGCGTGTGTATATGATGTGTATCACTGCACGACGATCGAATCGATTTTCATCGCAGTCGCCGTCGTCGTCGACGCCATCGTCGTCCTCTTCTTCTATATATTTGTAGAGCTTCGCCGATTCACACCGAACACTGACTTATCCTAATATTATTTTTTGCAATTCATAGAACGATCTCTCGCACACCTGTCCGCAAATATACTATGTAATAGAAAACTCGAACGTTAAACGAACACACGCGGCGGCATTTCACACTGTTTATATCGTCAAAAATCGGTACTGATCGCGTCAGGCAATTCTTATAATGTTGTCTGCCGCTGTGCCGCACAACGAAAAATCAACACACACCCGCGTCCGCGGCAGGTTATTTTTATTATGTCCGTTCGCGGAGTTGTCTTAGGGCCGACTGGTTGGTGCCGAAGAGTCGCCACTGCCATCGAGCCGCAAAAGTCAGCAGCAGTAAAGAGAGAGAGAGAGAAAACAGCTCATCGGTGTGTGTGTTATATGTGTGTGCAAAGTGTGCAGCCGCCGCCGCGCGCGACTAAGGAATCCTGTCCAACGCGATTGCTGCTATGCTCTCCCTCCTCCTCCTCCTCCTCGCTCCTCACTCCTATAAGCTTTGCGAGTAGTAGTATGCGAATACCCACACGGACGGAGGAGAGTACCTCCACCTCGACTCGCGGCGGTGCTCCACTACAACAGAGCGCGTACAGACTGACGTACACACGTATACAGACGCAAACGTAGAGTCGTGTGCGGCGACGGCTGCCCCCTTGAATGCTAACTTTTTCCTTTCGTTGTCTTTTTCGCGAGCTCTTCTTCGTAGTGTGCCGCTGTTGTGCTTGCTTCCTTCCCCACCTCGTGCGAGCTGTCCGGCAAAGCACGATTATCTACCTGTTGCTCTTTCTCTTTCTTTCTTTCTTTCTTTCTCTCTCTGTCTCGTAAGTAACGATGGATGCGCGCAATGCCACGAATGAATTGATACGAGCGACGCGTACATCCAAGATATATTATGCACGCGCGATTTTTCGCTTGGCACGGCTCTCGAGCTGCATCGTAATTTGCGAAAAGTGCACCGAGAGACACCTGTTGCTGTCTCTGCTGCTGCTTCGGCGTTGCGTATACGCGCGTAATGCTTTGCGCGTCTTCGATGTATTTAAGCGTTACGGTCCAGCGCGATAACGACTTTTTCTCGGGCACGCGTGACATGCAGCAGGTAAGCCATATACCCAGAAAGATGCGTGTACTCGGTCACGAAAAATCGGCAAGAATCGCGCCGTGAGGAGAAAATAAAAATGAAAAAAATAAAGAAGAGGCAAAGAGGAAGAAGAAGAGGAGAAGCCAGTACGAGACGCGCGCGGGGCATCGAACGCAGACACAACGCGTATATAAGATTGTGTGTATGTGTGTGTGTGCGAATGTGAGCAAGGTGCCTCTTACTCAGCCTCTGAAAACAACTGATCGGACACCGCTAGCCGCACTAGTGACACGGTTAAAGCAGCCGAGCGCGTGGACTCTCGGGCCTTACCTTGCCTCTCGGCTCTCGGCATGTGTATATACGTATATCTGCGTATATATACGTACAGCTGCTCCTCGTTCGATCCTATATGTCCAAAGTCTCATGGCTGTACGCGATCGCGGCTCGGCGTTGCTCGACCGATCGTTCGATAATGTGACGTCTTTTTGTCCGAAAGTCCGCCGCGCAGCCGAGCTTTATAATGACATACATATACATAAACGCAGCTTATATAGCTCTCTCGTACGTATGTGTCGTTTACGTTAGCTACGATTGTGTGCTCTAGATGCTGGGGCAATTATTGTCGCGTGCGCCGCGTTGTTCTGTCTCTCGCTCGCTCGCTAGCTACGTATGTTCCTCGACGCGCTCGAGCTCGAGTTTCGTTTTAAATGAGCAAAAAATCTCTTCTCGTCTACTAGTATAGGTATAGGCAGACTCGCGGGCAGAAAAGCATTTTATCCCCGAATAAGAAGGCGCGCGCAAAGATAATTGGAGTGAAAGTCCAGTGCAGCACGCGGAGCACGCCTATGGCATGATGGTTGGACTGTGCTGCACCGCAGCAGCAGCAGCCCCTCAAAAAGTGCAGCACAGCAGAGAACTGAATTTATTTTAACTCTATATACTTATATATAAACATAAAATTGCCGGGAATGTTTATACATAATAAAGTAGCTAGAGCTCTGCTTGGCCGCGCGCTCGCGAATTAAAAGTCGCCGGGCCTCTCTATGCTGCCGTTGCCTACCTACCTGCACTTTTCTTTATTTTTATAATACGCGAGCTGCCTATGGCGCCGCCGCCGCCGCTTTTGTTGCACCACACGACGCTGCTCTCTGATCGTTATGAATTTTCGAACGCGCATGTATACAGCCATGTGATATATCACCTATGAGAGAGCTATAGAGCCGCGCGAAAGGAGGAAGAAGGAAGGAAGACCGAGGCGCCACGCACACAGCGCCGTGGTGTATGTAATATATATCCCGAGTAAAGTGCACAGCGCGCGAAATATTCTCAAGCACTTTTCTTCTCTCTACTATATACTATACCTGCGCGCACACCTTTAATATAGACAAACGCGTTATTATGCATTATTATACGTGCGCAAGCGATCCTTTGCGCGTATAAGGGTATTATCTCGCGGCTGCTTGAGTATACAATATAATACTTGAATTCAATAAGCTCATATATATTTATTATAATGCGGAGTTCACGCGCCTCGCGTCGTCCTATGTATATAAAGTACGTAACGATCTATACTCTGCTCAAAACTGTAAATTATATCGCCGGCTATTTAAATTTGATATGTATTATAATACCACCTTTCGCGCGTGTGTACACATACACCCGCGTACGCGATCGGTATATACGACTGCCGCGCGAGAATTTCTATTGTAAACAAAGAGAGGCCCCGACGACGAGCTACCAAAAATAATGAGTGCTCATATACACGTGAACCAAAAAACACACAGCCCACATACGAGGAGTTAAATACTTTCCTTTTTATATCATACGTGCGGTCTCATAACGGCCTCGCACGAGGGCAAAGAGAGCAAAAAAAAAGGCACCAGTGGAGTCGCGTATCGACAATAATCGTATAATATATACACCGAGCTATATAGAATTGGATATATATTTCAACGTCGAAGCGACAGCGAGAGCTGCGTGAGCTTGTTGATGTGTTCATTGAAATTCTAATGAATTAAAATTCCTCGGCTCTACGCGATAGCGTCGTAAAAAAAAGAAAAAAGAAAGACAGAAAAAAAACAATAACACTGACATGCGACGGCGACGAATCGCAGACTTTTATAAGATTGTGAAGCGCCGCGTGCAGCGACGAAGAGGGTAGGCGACCGATTCGCGCTTCGCATTGTAAGCTGCTGCTGCTGCGTGTATGCATGTGCTTTCTTTTTATCCGCGTATATAGCATATAATAGAGGCGCACGCACTGCACGCAGACATTGTGTCTATTTTTCTGCGTTTTATGCGGCGAGTTTCTTCACCTGCAGCGAGCTCTGGCTGCCACCGCGCCGCCGTATAGCTGTGGCTTTTCTCATCGCATTCCTCGGCTTTATATGCGCGCCTAGGTATAAGACGCGATCGTATTTTTATTGCTCTCGGGGATTTTGTATACCATACCTAACGCTCGGTGGTTTTCTCTCTACGCGTGATTCCGTATGGTTTATGCGGCTCTGTACCTTGTATACAGCCACAAACCTTTGGGCTATTATCGCGCGCGAGCGCGAATTGCCGAGAAATATAGATTAGAGAGGGAAATGTCGGGCAAATTGCGAAGGATGACTCTGCGATTATAAGCCCATCGAGGATAGTCATTGCTTCATGTATCGCGCGCGTACACCACTCACACATTACTGGTACCTGATTATTCTTTCCTGTTTTTTTTCCCTTTTATTTCATTTTTTTCCGTTACTGTTATCATTATTTCTTTCCAGTTGTTTTCAGACTCGCGAAACTCGGGATTTGGGCTTTCGCGTTTCGAGCACGTGAGAAAAAAGCTGCACACGAGAGGGACGAGAGAGAACGAAATTTCGAAATAAAACACATGTCGTTGTGTTATTAAGGTTTCCGCGCGGGACTTGGGTGTAGTACGACATAGTATGCTGCTATAGTATAAGCGCGTGACATTGCTGCGGATATCAAGACTTTTATTTTTTTGCGTTGTTTTACGCACACACGCGATTATACATACATAATAATACGCAACCGCGCACGGAACCGAGCGCGGGAAAAACTACCGTGTGTACTAATACACGCGAACGTTCGATCTGCATTATATTTTGTTTTTGCCAATCGATCTTGTTACGCACTCAGGGGGGGTTCCACCATACACTTTAATCATCACGCACGTGCTTCACGTGCCATGTAGGATTTTTCGTGAGCATATGAGAAATCGTGCGACTTTTTTTGGCCCGCTACATATTATACACATTCTGTATCAGACGTTGCGTCGTCGTTGCCGCTACGTCTATTGTTACGCGGATCATCCGCGATTATAATGGATAAAAAGGAGCAACACAGGATACATTTCTCGATGTTCTCTCGCGCAAACATATATATAACACGCGGTAGTCCGTGTGCAGCGCTGCACTACCGCTTTATAATACATAACTGCGCGCGGAGAGAATCCGAGATGTCAATCGTTGAATCGCGTTGCAACTTGCGCGGGTGTGTGTGTGTGTGTATGTCGCGTCTCTCATCGTTCACAGATCGTTTTGGCACTGATGCACGTACACGCTTATACGCGAGTCGACGTTACATCTCGTTCATACGTACGCGTGCAGTATGCCTGGCAACGGGAAGGAAACAATCGCGCCGAGAGACGCGGAGAGCTCATTGGGAAATCGATGAAAATCTCAACAATAGTCGAAATAAAAAATCCAACTAGCTCTGCTGGCGTGGATGCATGTGCGCGCGGAGGGCTGCAGAGCAGCGCAAGAGAACAATAATAAACACTCGCTGACTTCTATGTACTTTTTCTGTTTCAGAGTCGGAGCAGGTTTTCCTGATTGCGTGCGCACCTGTCTTCTACACCAGAAACTCCAGGTAAGAGAGACTTTTTGGGACACGCATCTCGTTTGCTATATCTGCTGCACACCTCTGCCCTGTGCGTACACACACACACATATGCGCTTGGTGCATGTGTAAAAGGCTGCACTGTGCACTCAGCTCTACTAATACTACTTACTGTCGCAACGCACCGCTGACTTGACGCACTCGCAGCTAGCTTGTGTATACACACACAGTACAGAGGCTCGCTCGCAAGCCGCAGACCTGCTGCAGCACAGTCAAAGAGTTTATCGTTCCATTTCTCACGTTTTCACGTCGTTATATTATTATTGTCTCCCGCGCGAGCAGCTCCCATCGCCCTATTGTCCGAATCTTCTGCCATGGGTTCGAGACTCTTCTTTTTTTTTCCTTTGCCCGTAGCTATATGCACCGCATGTGCACACACACAGACGAATACACATCTATCCGAGGCATTCGCAATGATTCTGTTTTTTTTTCATTATAGATGATCAACTGCTGCATAGCGAGAAAAAAGGCAAGGGAGGAGGTCGAGAGAAAAGTCCAGGGAATGGATATCAATGCCGATAGCAGTGGTGAGTACTTAAGCCGTATCATTATATACCTATATTCCACGCTCCGGGCGAGGAATGACAGGAGGAAAAAAATTACCTACATCGGAGCAATTATATTTTTACACAACGTTGTCGTAGTTGCAATATCAATTAGAGCATTGGTGTGTATAATCGTTCTCTCTCTCGCGCTATCGTCTCTTTTGTGAGAAAATTCCGAAAAGGCCAGTACCACCGCGAACTGCCGCTGCCGCTGCGGTGGTCGGTAAAAGTCCTGCGCTGCACTGGCAGTTCGCGTGCTTTATACATATAGCGTACTACGATACGAGATACATACTCTCGTGTTAGGGCAATTAAATCTCATTTCTCGCGTGGCGTGCGGGTCAATAAAAAATAACGAGCCATTCAATTACGGCCAACGGCAGCAGCAGCAGCGCAACGTACACACAGCCGCATTATGTACATAGCCGAGCGATAACTAGGTAATCATATGGTTTCTAACTCTCCTCGCTCGCGCGCGCGGGGAGAGGCGCAGCAGCTTAACTCGTAGAAATTACTCTACTCCGACACCTAAATGGGCAAACTTTGGAAAAATTAGATGCTATGTTATATGCCGAACGCGCGTGCATACGAGCTCCGGCTCTTGTTTTGTGTGCCTACATAGAGGCATGCGAGCTCTCGTGCTCGCGATCGCTGCCCGCGAGAGAAAGATGGTCGTTTTGCCGCAATCGTGTGGCACATACTAAGTTTCTCGGAATTCGCGCTTCCGAAGACGTCGATGATGAATACATTAATCGCGGATTGGCACAGATCGACGCGCTCGTAAGTGTACCGTTAATTGATATGATTGATGTAATTCGCCCGCCGATGTATTTATAGCATACCTCTACTCGAGCCCGTGTAACATAAGTAAGTAGCATCCAGCGCAGGAATTTCGACTATCGTGCCGATGTACTTACTTCTGTTTTTTTCTCGTTACATCCTTTTCGCAATAAGCAGGCGACTCGGAGGAGGACGAGTTCTTCGAGTGCCTCAACGAGGACGAGGGTGCCCAGGGCCGGCATCAGCTCTTGTGGAATCGTCCGGTGGGCCGATTAGCCAAGCATCCGACGCTGAGATTGGTACAGACCGGCGAGCCGCTCTATCTGCCCGTCACTCAGGATCCGGTGCCCAAAACGGAAGACCAATTAGAGGAGGACGCGCAGGTCATGATGCAACTCGGCACCGACAAGAATGCCTCCGAGATGAGAGCCCGCCTCATGAGCGCCTCGCTCCTCTCCGATATGGAATCGTTCAAGGTAATGAATCACCGTTTAGTTTGCAATTTGCCATCGCAGAAAAGCATGTGTGTGTATTCGTGACTCTGCCTAATTATTATTTATAGATTGGAATTTTACGAGCGTGTCTCATATATTTTCGTCGATGCCATCAGTTTATATACGTGTAATTAAATTCGAGGCACGCGGAGATGAGCTCGAATGTATATATTCAATTTACGATTATCGAGTTTTCGACACAGGCAAAAAAAATCGCCACGGAAATACGATACGCGACTTTAATTAATGGTATTTAGCACACATCGAGATGAATACGCGTTTTCGAAGTGAAACTGTTTTGCGCGCGTTTTATTGTTAATCTTTAGCGCCGCGACGCGCGCGCGTAATCAGGATTTAAACTGCAAAAAAAAATAAATAAATAAAACTCTACTCCTTAGGGTGGTCTACTTCTTACGGCGATCGAAATGTGTCTCTAATATGAAACACTGAACGTGTATTTCTTGAGGCAAATTTAGATGCTTTAGAGACACTTTTTCGATTGCAGTAAGAAGTAGACCGCCCTAATCACGCGTGCGCGAGTTGCGGCACGTAAGAACTAATGTAGAGCTGCCCTTAAAGTAATTAAAGTTTGCTTCGCACGCTGCGGTCGACGCTCTTGAGTGCTGACTTGACTTGACTCGATGCGCTCTCCCCTCTACCGCGGCACATGACACAGACGAGAAGCGGCCGCCACTGGCCCACTCGTGCCTCTGAATCGTAGGTAGCGTGGTGTATCTTTGTCTTCGTCGCGCTCGCTTGTTTTACTCTCGCTCAATGTCCATCTGTGGATTCACGCACATTTTATAACTGCTCACGCGTTCGTAGTGTAGACCCAGTTCATTAATCGGACGTAGTTTACGTCACGACGTCGCCGCGCATACAACATCGAGCCAGACTGCATCGACTGCTGCAAGTGATTCTCGTGAAAAAAGTTGAAAGTATTTTATATTTATAATATTAGCGAGTGCGTGTTGTTTGAGGGTGCGCAGAACCATGTCCACGTTCGACGGAAACTTGAAACAATTGAAGAGCTTCCGACAAACAGCCGAGCGAAAGATTCAACAAGAGCAACAGGAATTTCTCGGACGACTCTGTAAATTATTCACTGGTTGGTTAAAAGATAAATTGGAACTTCCTAACCTTCGTAATATTTTTCGGACCAAAGAAATCGAGAGCCTTCTCTCGGATGCCGCAAGATTTAGGGCTCGAGGTTGGAATGAACTCATCAAGTTCGTAGCTCGCAGTGGCTTCAAGGTCGAACCCACCTTTGATCAAGACGGAAAGCCACTGGTGCATCGCACCACTGCGGTACATCACGCGGCTGCGTACTGCATGTTCGCGTCCTCTGAATTGAAGGACGTGATTCGTCACCTCATTGAGATATACGACAATGTAAATTACATCGACGAGTCCGGATTCACGCACTTTCATACGATCTGCATGTCTGACCTTGATGATCTCGTCCAGAAATTCCTCGAAGCCGGGCAAGACCCTAATTGTCTCGAAAACTTATCAGGTGATTCGCCGCTACACATTGTTCTGACCCAACGACGTAATAACAAAATCGTAGAATTGCTGCTAAGAAATGGGGCCGATCCAAACTTGACTAACAAGGAAGGATGGACTGCGCTACACATTCTTTGCAAAAGAAAACAAGATGATGATTCGGTGGAGCAATTTTTTAAGATCACTGACGAACTCAATCAGCTGGTGCAGATTGACGCTCGAGACAATTTGGGTCGTACACCGTTGCAATGGGCCGTAGCGACTTTATTACCGAACACGGTTGATGTACTCTTGGATCGTGGAGCAGATCTGTCTAGCTTTGTTCTGTCCACTGAGATTGACTTCGCTGAAGGATATGAAGATCGGTGGTTGGACGCTACGAAGAAATCTAAATTGATGCTGGCGTTTGGCCTGTTGGCCGTCGTCGAACGTCTTGAAAAAAAAGGATTTCAGTTGAACCAAAATGACGCTTTAAAAATCATGGCATTATTCGTCAAGTACGAATTGTTCGACGTGTCAGTGAATCTCGATGTATTCATAGATGACACAGAAGCGAAAAAAATGATGATAAATCCGAACCTGTCATTGTATCAACTCTCACGGTTACCACCTCAAATGGTGACGAATTTTGCATCTTATAACGACTTCATCAAATTCGCGCTTTCGCAAAAATTGTTGGAGTACACTCAACCGTGGAAAGAAGCTTGTTACATGTATCTTGGCGAGAAACTATCAAAAGGATTTTATTTGCGATGGACAATAAATTCTTTAATGAAGCTGATACACCAGCGACTGCCAACTCTTTGCTATGATATGATCGTCGAACAGCTGACGAACAAAGATTTATATAATGCTTGTTTGGCTGCTGCAGGCCAACGCTCATCATAATGTGATAATCATATTCACAGTATTTTTCAATTTATGATGTTATTCAATTATGCAGATTTTCCATGTGATTTAAATAAATACATTTAAAACAATTCAGTTGAGTTTTTTGTGTTTTAATTTCCTTCTTACATTATGCCAGAAGATCCAAAAAATGTAAATAAAAATTATTGAATATTCATCCTACTGACTCTGCGCTAATACACTAAAGCGATCTAATTTGGGGGGAAAGGAAAAGGAGGAGAAAGAGAGAAAAAATTAAAAATTAATTGAGGGACATTCTGAATTATTTTTCCCTAGAGTATCTCGTGTTTTCTTTTATCTGTAAATTGTGAATCGTCCTTGTTGATATATAGAAGTTAAAGAATTTATGAATCAAATTTTTAAAATATGCAATGGCTTTAATTCACATAATTTGCATGGTATTTTTCTCTCACGCGTGTATACTTAATGTACGCAGGCAGCGAACCCCTCGGCACAATTGGAGGACTTCATACGCTGGTACTCGCCGCGCGACTGGATCGAAGACTCCGAGAGCAACGACAAGGACGAATGGGGCCAGACGCCGGGTAAGCTCTCGCCTCGCATGCTCATACCCAACAATCCGTGGGCGAGCACCTGGACGTCGGCCCAGCCCGTGCCGGCCTATCGGCAGAAGCGCCTGTTCGACGACACCCGCGAGGCCGAGAAGGTCATACACTTCCTGACGAACAAGCGACTGGGCCAGGTCGGCCAGCTGCTGCTGCCCGTGCTGACTCACGCGGCCCTCGTCGCTCTGCACGAGAAGAAGACGAGCTCGCTGCAGGGACTGCCCGACGTGCTGCAGGCCATACACAGCAGGCTGCAGTTCGCCACTAAGCCCATTCAGCAGAAGCTCCAGCTTTACGAGGTTGGTTGGCTCGATGCGGTCTCGTTTTCGTTTTACCGATCATCCGCGTTTTAACTTAATGACAAGTCTGATATTGAGATTTCTTTCAAGGACATCATTCGCGATATGGAGAGCGTCGAGACTCTCGTGGCGCAGATGAACTCGTTGCAGCTGAAACTGTCGGACAACGAGGGCGACGCTCAAGACAAGGAGCTTCAAGCCTTCGTCGTGCAGCTGATGCGAGGCAAGGAAGTCTCGGTGCCAAACGGTCCCAGAGGAGCTCTGGGAAATCGAATCTCAAAGATGTTTTCCGACGCTCAGAAGGTCCTGCAGTTCTACTTCTATACCGATCAAGGATTTTTCCAGTCAGTTTTTGCTGATTTTTATTTTCATTGCAGGCGGCGCACACGAGTAGCACAGGTGGTAGTGGTAGCGGTGGAGGCAGCAGCGGTGGCGGCAACAGTAGCGACAGCGACGCAATGTACGATCCGCGATCGATGGCTTTCAAGCCGTTCCCGGCGCCGACCTGCAAGGAGTTCGTGCTGCGCGCCATGGCCCCGAGACCGTCGCCCACGTCTATCGCTCAACCCCAGAGGCTCTACGTGAGTCTCGACAAGGACAACATTCGCATGGCCGGAGCATTTTCCGAAGACACGATATTTTACTAATTTGCCGTTACTGTTAAGTTTTTTTTTACGCGCGCAAACACACGAACACACGTTTGGTTATTTCTCGCACGTTTCTTGCGAAGTTATGTTATTCTTAATCCGTTATTCTGTGCGTACAAAATTTATGATACGATTGTTACATTTCACACGTATATAAATACCGACGTAAATATAGTTTATCCAATATATACAACTAACATACGCGCGCTGTTAAAAAATTCGTGAAAGGGTTGTAATTGCGTTTTTTATACATACTGAATTTTGTATATTTAATATTAAAAATGATTATGATAATAATACATATTAAGATATGTGTACGTATGCGTATACATTTGAATCTTCTTCAAATTTTAAACTCAACTGAATGAATAAAGATAGCTCACTCATTTTATTGATCGATTTTTTCAAATTTAAAGTTACTCGGTCTTTATGATTCTGAATTATAACGAAGAATTAACTGAAAATTTGGAAAACAAAATACATACGGAGCTATTTAATTCGTTCGGACAAAGTTTAAATACTATGAACTCATGATTAAAATATGTATATTTGTATGTATATGGTTGTGAATGAAGCATGTGAATTGTTTTCAGACGTGAGCGTCATGTCTGTCGTATATGCTTAATGTTTCAAGGGAGACTGGAGGTTTCATGAAACATAGTATATAAATTTTAACATTGTATTTGGTAGCAGTTGTAAAAAAAACATTATAAACATTATAATTGTTGTAGAAAAGACTTTACAATTTGTAAATATGAGACAACAAAGAACTAAAAAACAAATTAACAGAAACAATTCATCCTTATAAAAATTATCGAACAATCAATTATTCGAAAGTAAAAATATTGTCTTTTCCAATTTCGGTGGCGCGAATAGATAATGCTTAACAATATCGTCGAATTCCTCTAGAGCAAGCTGCGCGTGCAGTTGTACCGTGGGATCGTTATCAGTATCACGCAGATGTTTGAGACTTCGATAAAGAGGCACGAGATTTTCGCCCAAGTCAACCAAAGCACTTTTTCCGAGTCCTTGGAGCAAGAGAGTCGTCACGAGAACGGCGGCTCGTCGGCAGCTATCATCTTTGTCCGTTTTTATGATGCAGCTTATGCAGTATAAAATCTGAAAAGCAAAAAAAATTGTTTGTACACTCATTTAAACAAAAAATATATGTATATGTTTAGATATATTGTTGAATAGATTGTAATATGATATAAAATGTCAATAATATATAATAAATTTTATCGAGGTGGCGTTGGTAAAACAAATACTCACTTCTATCATTAAATTGCCTAATCTGAAGCCCATTATTTTACAAAATTCGCCAAGACACGAAAGACTCGAAGCTCGCACCATTGCGTCAGGATCTTTAGTTCCACACAAAAAGCCGTTGACTAAAAGACTTTTGTATTTGGGCGTCATTTCACCTGTTAAATGAAAAAAATAAACAATGACAAGCTGTATCTAATAATAATTTCAAATCAATTAACGTGATTTAATGCGTATGCTAATACCTAAAGCTCTTGTAGTTTTAACTAGAATTTCGCCGAGTTTGGCACGAGTTTCGGGCGTCGTTTCACAATTTCTCTGTTGCTGCGTCAAGCCAATAAACTCTTGCACCAGTGTCTCGATGACTTTATCAGGAAACATTTTCGTCATTGCGCATATTCCATTGATTGAAGCTAAATAAATAAACGAATCTTCGTGAGTGAGATTTTGTTGAAAAATACAGAAGAGAAGATCTTTTTTCAATTCTGTCTCTGGATGACGCGCTTCGATTAACTTGGTGAGTGTTATTAAACCATGGCCTCTGACAGGTAGAAGTGGATCGGTCAAATCTGCTAGAGCTTTATCTACCTCGTTGAGTAATTTGTTTTCAGCTGATAAATCATAATAATGTTTAACAGATTCCTTTCCTTTCTTTCTTATTACTTTTTCAATTTCTTCAAATATAGAAACGATTTTTTCTGGTATGTTCTTAAAATTAATAGTTCTGATGTCAGAAATGAAATCTTCAAATGCTTTCCAAGATTGAGTTTCCTTATTTTCTATTATCATCTGTTTTATCAACATTAAACATGTATATAATATTTCAACATCTTGTTCATGTGAATCATTGGAAATACTGTCAGTTGAAGATATTTTTGTGAAATAAAATTTAATGAAACCTAAAAGAGATTGTGGTGATCGCATCTGAGCTTTCTGAACATTTGGTAGATCAGATAACATTGATAGCAGTTGAATAACAATAAGTTGTTTCTCCATTTTCTCAATGATGTCCTTTGGTGATTGTAGTAGTTTTTTATTTTTAGCTGCTTCGTCAGCTGTGTGGTTTAAATTTGGTGAAACTTTCAATAAATATTCGAATAATGAAAATGCTAGTTGATCGTCCTTTTTTACAAGTTCATATAAACCACCTGCTATTTCATCATTTTCTACTTCAAATGGTTCAGAAGAAACCATTAAACCACCATCATCTCCAAATTTAAAATTTAACCTTTCACCGTATTCTCTGATAGCAAACATGTCGTGATTTAAAATCACGCTGAAAGCAGGATGTCTTATTTTCACATCTTGCAATATTTTTAAAAGTAATTCTTTTACTTTATTGCGATGCACATAAATGCTACTTTTTACTTTTAAATAAAGGTAAAAAAGAGGCTGTAAGACTGACGATAAAATTGTTAGAGGTAAGCAAGTAAATTCAGCTCTTGTTGTTATGAAAAGTTTGCATAAATTTTCTATGCACTGTGATACTTGGTTTTCTGTTGTAATAGATTTATTATTTTTATTATGAAGAGGATTCATAATAATATCTAATACTTTTTGTTGACACAAATCCTTGTCAAATTCATATAAAACTTTTATGTAACAATTTGCTATAATAGCTCCTTGTTTATATTCTTTAGATTCAAGTAATGTGATGAGCTGAAAAAAATATTTGAATATAATTATTAGAAAAATTAAATTATGAGCAAGTATTAATGAGATTACAATATTACCTGGCTGCAAATTGCATCATAATATTTTAATGCTGGAACTGTGTAACCAGTATCACCCTTTTTATATCTACGTATCAAAATTTCTCCTGCAACATTCAATTTAGGCCAGTAGACACTCACATCTGTAAGTTCATCACAAATGACCGTAGTCAATGAGACAACGCCATTGGACATCATGAATATTTCAGAGATATAACGATGAACATTGATTTGAAACCATCTAGGATTGTTTGATTCAGCACTGATCATCATAATATTTGTTAATACTGAAGTTAGCGGCATTTTTTCCTTCAATTCATATAACTTATTCTGATAATTTACTTGATCTTTGATTAAGTTAGCGTATAGCTCTGTTGTCATTTTAAATTCAGCATTGTTATTTTCAGACAATGGACTGTCTACTATTGGCTTCTGTAAAGGGGCAAATGATAATTGAAACAAAGCAGCAAGTATACTGTCCAATTGAGATATAACAGCTGATCTAAGAATAACATGCTCAAAAAGTTCCAGTAAAAGTGTAACTGTGTGGCACATTATTTTGTATTTCTGTAAGATGAACAATTTTTATTTTAGTATATTTATATGGTTTTTTAAGTCAATAATACAATACTTACATCAAAAATATCTTTGTGTTCAAAGTGGATTTGGAAATTTTTGAAATCTGTCGCTCGCGTTCGCACTTTGATAGCAGAATGAAAGGAAGAAACTATTCCTAAGTGACTAGCTAGTTTTATTGAATTTCTCAGAATTTTCATTTGTTCTATAGTAAACAACGGGTTTTCTTGACTCAACTCCGTTTTAGCAAAATCAGAAACTACGAATAAAATTGTATGTAGATAAACCCACCTAAGATAACAAAAAAGTTATCATATTTTAGGTACTTTTGTATAATTCTTCTCAAAACGGTCAAATTTTACTTACGCGACGTCATCACGAGCAAGAACTTCGTGTCGATTTTTGGAAACGTTGTCAATCACATCTTCCGGCATTATTTGATGAACTTTTTTCATTATGTCTTCGAGAACATCGTTTGTTATCGAAGCTTTGTCGTCTGGAAGTATGGATTCATATGATTTTATAATTTTTCAATGAGTACTTTGAAAAAATTAAAAACTACAAATTAATGCAGTTGTTACCTTCGTTCAATTTAGTCAAAAGTGTCAACACTTGAGTATAATCCATTGTATAAGTTTAGTAGAATGATTCTTATTCACTTTTTTACGAAACTATAAAACGTTAGTATCAAAAAACTTTTTGTATAAACAATAAAGTGAAAGCGGCACTTGTTTTGGAGTATTTACAGTAGGTTGCAGAGTACAGGTACCGAGTCGCCTCGTGGTTTGGTCTGAACTAAAACATTACAAGTCTGACAGAACAGAAACATCATGTCTGCGCTAGCGATGCTATGTCAGAATGGCCAACTTGAAGACTAGAGGAAAACTTGAATTACTACACGAAAAATGTTAAAAATCATTTAAAAAACGTAAATTGTATATAAATTTGTTTTTAATTGATCATTTTCAACATCTATTTAACAGTTAAAACTTGATCCATGATGAAATGATTTTTATGAGCAAAAATATCATCGTTGAATCAGTTGAATCATGAATGTCAATTTTTCATACTTCACGATTAGGTTGGTATCGAGTCACGGTGACGGTGGCAGCGCTGTTGAACATGTTGTAGTCAATGACATGTGCGCCTGCAATCTGCACGTGCATTTTCGCGATTGCGAATCGCCATTCGCAAATTGCAATGCGTCGCGGGAATCGAGATGCGAAAATATGCCAGCAGAAAGCGCGCAAAATACCCGCGTAACGTTCGAGTCGAGTAACACTCGATCGCTTGTCAGTTGCGCTGGTGAAATGCTTTGTCAAATTTCTAAACAGATTTACGACACACCATCCCCGGATTTTCTTTATCGGAGGTTCGATCCGTGCCCTTGAATCATGTCCACGTTGAATTCCTTTATTGTGAATTCCCAAATAAAATTAACGAAACCGTAATAAGTGGCGTTTCGATGGGGCAACTTCATCGTCGATGATCGTACAGTTCAGTTTTTTATCGGTGACCTATTTAATGACATTTCGAAAAATTTCGTGTTGGTATCTTTCTCAAAAGAGGGAGTGAAATAACAGATAAAAGTGGGAGTTAGTGTGTATTGTGCAGTGGGTGGAAAGCCATGAGATGATCATTGGAGGTCAAACTTCTGTTGAGCTCGACTACGCTTCTTTGACTGCCACGTTTTTGGTTAAATAAAGATCACCAAGAAAAACTTTGGTAACAATGGTTAGATTACAATTCAATCCTTCTGACTTGGTTGAAGCTAAAGTCCATGCACAGAAAGATTCATTGCAGCTTCCAATTAGCACCAAGAGTGAGTAATCTGTTTATTTGTTTAGATAAGTTATACAATTTTTTTCTCATTGTTAATATCCTTTTTCATTTCAGATGAAGAAAAAGAAAAACCTTTACCAAAGAGATCAAGTGATTTCTCTTTTATGATTTTATTTTCAGTGTGCATAGCGATGTGGATGTCAGTGGATTTGTATTGTAATTTTTATTGTTATACATATGTTTTATTGTAATATTGTTTTCATAAAATCAAAATATTAACTTTTTTTAAATTAGTTTATTTTACATCGGATCTACCTATTCTTTCCAAATTCTGGAATGAACTGTTCAGAGAAAAGCATGGTTCAGAGAAGCATCGTGCAGAAGTCTATCAAAAGTACGGATATTTATTTAATTTATCTGAAATTAAAGTTTTTTTATAATTAATCGTTTTTATGTGATCATTTTCAGAATTTTGCAGATAGCCCTTATTGGCTTATTTTTGACAATAAGCTCATTTTATTTGTTTTTTTTAGCTTTGAAACATTGCACTAAGTTTGTTATTTATATTATTTACTTAACAACGTTCATGACATTCATTTATGTAGCTGTACGTAGTATTGATGATCAGGCATATTTGGAGAATAAATTTGTAAAAATTCCTGCATTAGTAACGTTTTTAGGCATTGTATTTACAACTATCTCACTTGTTGATGATTTTGATGACATTGTTCTTATTTTAAAGGAGACCGGCCGGTAAGAAACTTTTGGTTCAGATGCAATATCTAATTAGAGATAAGCTAAAATATTAATCATTTTCAGAGCCATCTTAGCATCCAAATGGACACTGATGTTTCCACTTCTCAAAAATGTTTTGCTTTGGTCTATTTTCATATTTGGAATAAATCTTATGCCACTTTACCATAAAGAATTAAGTCTACGTCCACCATTTGAAGCAATTATTGTAAGCCTCAATTTAATGGCAATTATCTGGTTAATGGCTTGGATTTATGGACTTTTTGAAATGGTACATTCAGGAAAGTTTACAGGATGGTACAAGGCGTTCTATGCAAATAAGAAGTTTGAAAAGTCTTATGGACATTATTTCTGGACTGCTATAACGTAAATTTTTGTTTACTTTATGTAAATTATTATTGATTAAAAAACTTGAAAATGAGCATTCTAATTATTTTTCAGGATGAATTCAGGAACGGCAGTAATTGGTGGCTTGATGCCCTTTGGACACTTAATATGTTTTATATTCAGTGGTATTATAGCCATACTTTCTATACCATTCTATTTTTTTCTACCTTCAATTTATACCAAGATAGCAAAATTCGTAGAAAATCGAATTCTAAATCATATGCACTATGATAATGTTTACATTGTAACTAGTAATTACCACACTAGTTTAATTGAGTCTATTGTGCTTATAGCTAATGATAATCTGTGGAAGTTTACCAGAAAGTCCAAAGTAACAATAGTAAGTTATTTAACTTGTTTTATTTGATTTATCTTCATGCATATAAATTAATATTTTAATGTTACAGATTTCGAAATTTATTCTAGCCTTTGGAACAAGTAGTATTTTTAATCTTACAACGTCATGTGTGTTTGATTTTATGATTGATCATGAGTTTAAACACAGTGTGTATGTTCTATTAATGATATATATATTTTACAGTACATTGGCTGTATTCTATTTTCTAATATCACTCACAGCCTTAAATTGCATGATGTTTAGTGCTTGCCAAGATGCGAGTCAAAATACAGTTTCCCTCAATGATATGAGTGCTAGATTGTTAAATGTATGTCTTCCTAAGAGAAATAGAACTTTTTCTGATCCAATAATGGATTCCAATTCTGTAGCCAATTCTGTATGATACCACAGAGGCGAAATTTTTCGTAATTGTAATTGCGCTGGGAATTGCACGTCCTCTGATAAAATGTAATTAACACGTTGCAAATTTTGTACATAAAATGTAATTGTTTCAGATTGAATCGATCTGTACAGATTTACACTTTTGTACCCTTGTAATAAAAGATAATTATAAATAAATTAATGGTACAAAAAACGAACTGATTAATTGATACCACTTGTGCTTACAAAAAAATCGATCGACTTGCAGGCGTCCGGTCGTACATTTATTTACGCGCCTGCAACATGCATGAGCTTCAGTCAGCATATTCAAACGTGTCGTTTGGCGGGTAAAGTTACATACAAAAGAGACACGGCTTTTCGCCTCCGAGCTCCGACTTATATATAGTTTGTCCCGGAGTAGTGCGACGGCGCCCCCGCCCGGCACTTTTCGCTGTGAAAATCGTCGATACGAGGCGTGTGTGTGTGTGCCAGTGTGTGTATTATGTGCTCATGTTGGTGTGTTCTGTATACACAGGCTCTCTCGGGCCGCGCGTCCGTGTGCGTGTACATATGACACAAGAGCTCGCGCACACATAGGCAATTCCGCGCAGCAGCAGCAGCAGCAAGCAGTAGTCTCGCACACACTATTTTCTCGCCACAGCCAGTCGCTAACTATGCACCGCAGCAGCGAGTCCGAGAGTCCAATTGCATTTCTTACATGTCGACGATCGACCAGAGCTGCATCGAGCGAGTAGCAGTAGTAGCATCGAAAGACCTAGAAGTGACATAAGTCCACAATCCAACAGTTATGATCGATTGAAGCGTCGTCGCCGCGTACAAAGTCTCTCGTTCTTCCTGGGCGATATATCCCTTGCTGCTGGCTGCGCGTGAGTGTGTGGAGAGCACAGATGATCGGAATATAACGGGAGGAGCTCGTGTGAGTGCGAGTGAGCGAGCGCGCGCGAGAGAAAGAGAGAAAGACAGGAAAGTACCAGCGCGACGACTGCCAGCGACGAAAAACCTTGCGAGTTGCAACAACGACATATAGCGCGCGCGTGTGTGTGTCTGCATGCAGTGTGCATGGCCAGCAGCCTCCGAAAGTGCGGCCGCCAATCGAAGGATACAATAATAAATAGGTGGACAAGAAGAAAGACGCGATTCGCGTGTGTGATATATGTGTGTTCGACTATATACACCGCGGCGGTGGTGGTTTAACAGTGCGCGCGCGGTGTGATGACTGCATTCGTGCGTTAAAGTTTTGCGTCTACAATAGCGCGTGTGACGAGTGTGTGTGGCTGCATGTGTCCGTGTATGAAAGCAGCAGCAGCAGCAGCAACGACTAGTGCGAGTGCAGTGGTGCGTGTTGTTGTCACTTTTGTGTGGTGCAGCAGCAGCAGCAGCAGCAGCAGTCACGGGCCGTGAACTGTTACATAGGCGCGCTCGAGAGTGCAGTCACTCTCTATAATAGGTGCTGCTACATCGGCATTCGCTGCAGCCAGCCATAGGCCAGCTCGCGGCAGTATAAACAGCATCGCCGCTCGCACATAAACACACAACGCAGCACGAATATATAATAGGCTTTTGCTTATATTTACGTCGAGGAGAGAAGAAGAAGAAGAGGAGAGCGAAGACCGAGAGAGAGAAACGACAACAAAAACACATCATCGTACAGCAGGAGCAGCGCAACAATGACGGCAACTAATCTTGAGGGCTCGCTGAACAGCGCGCGGCTCTTGTCATTGCCGATTAACTCGAGAACTAAGTGTTGTAATATCAGTGTCGTTAATAATGCTGCCTCCACCGATGACGATAATGGCCAGAAAAAAGTGTTCGTGATGATTAGTGAACATTTGTGATCCCGGTTTATCGCCCTTTCGGGGAACTATTCGTAACTCTCTGTTGTTATTAATAATAAATTCGATATAATATCTATTAAAATTATACCGCGACACATACACACATATATGTACACGCGTATACTATAAATATAAAAATACGTTTTCATATTATACGGTTCAATGCGTCCAACATGATCGAGCAAAAACAACAGCAACAACGACAACAACAACAACAACAGCCACCAAAACAACTACAGCAGCAGTCTCGATTGTAAACACACCAAACGAATCGTCGTCCTCCTTTTGCCGCTATGATTAGATTATCTGGAGATTACGCGCCGTATGTATTATCGTCTGTGTAATTCGCACCGTACAATAGTAGCGATACATAATTGCCCGCTGCAGTTCATCACTCATACATAACACACATTGCATATATAGCTACGTTTAAAAGAGATATATAGACCTCAACTTCACCGCCTCTCATACTTGGATTATTAAAGCTCAGACAGGTGATTACATCTATGTGTTTACATATCTATTAGCTGTGCATGTTGACTTAAGATACGAATTTTAATCTGCTGCTCGAGTATAAAAGACACCGAGTGATAGTAACTACTCGGCTATGTGCCGAAGCTACCGAGAAACGTAGAGGATAATTATAAACGCGCAACTCGACGAAAATATGATACCTCCGGAAAAACGCGCAATTCAGAAGGATATTACTCAATTTTTTAATTTTTAAAGTGCATACTTGCAGCCAGTTTTTTTCACGCGAATTGGTACAATGTTTTTTTTTTTTTTTTAGTAGTTTGTTCAAAAATAAAAATTCATGTTCAAACAGGATCTCAAAGTAAAAGACATCTTATTTTTATCATTTTTTTTTGCAAACAGATACAGAGGATTCTGTTGACTGGTCAGCGTTACAAAGGAATGGCAGCAGCCTTAAAGAAGAATCACTCCCGAAGAAGGCTTGCTGCATTTTCATTTCTCTCCAACATCTCGCTGGATGGAAGTCACAGAGACACTCGATTAGTGCTCATACCTAGCAATGAATTGCTAAATGATCAGAATTGCAGCATTCACCAAGAGCCTACCACCAATAGCAATGATGCCCATCCAAAGGACACTTTGGATGGCATTCTCAACGGCACATGTCTGGAGAATGGAAACAACAATTGCATAAAGCAAAATGACTTGCCTTTGTCAGCAGCGAGTCATTATCCAGCACATGATCGCTCATTTAGCTCAGATTCTGAAGCAGTTCAGACTCCAGTTAAAGCAGTTAAGGCTGTCTTATCTGAACAAGAACACAACTGCCCTCATCTGCTGACTTCTCATCATGCTTCATTCAGAGAACGGTAATGCATTGTTATATGAATCAAAGTCATCGTATTAGATTTTTTCATTTGACTTGCGCATCACAGTAAATTTTAAAAAATCCCTATCAGCTGCAACTCAATCATTTTTGCTGCATACTTTTCATATTTATTTTCTGTATCGCGAATAATATTTACTGCAACTAGATTGTGCAAATACGATTTGGAATGTACAGATAAAAGAAAACAAGAGACGCTTTGGGAAGAAAAAATTATGTTACACTACTTATCTTGTTAACTCGCGTTGTTTGGAGCTTTAACGCAATGATACGGACTTTTCGCGCTATATCATGACAGTGTTTGGCACATTTCCGGTTAACCCTTTATTTAATTATCTTAACAGGTTTACAGTCTGCCACGAATCCTATTACGTTATATGTGTACATAAAGACGCGCAATACACCCTTGCACAATGTCATTAAGTGCATGCAGAAACTTTGACCCCTCGACGTCAGCAGCGACGGCGGCGCACTCGCCGCGCTCGCGTGCGATAAACACACACACGCGCAGAGCAGCATTATCCAACGATTTTTTTCTCGCGCGCATAAGAACATGTTTTGATAAGAGAACGTCAAAATAATAATTAATGATGATTCGCAGGGCTGGAACGACCGGCAGCAGCGAGTACACGAACGTCATCGAGAGGAGGGTCGGCTCGCTGCATTACAAGCGCAAGATCGCGCATCAGGCCTCGACGCTGTCCGAGGATATCAAAAATCAATACAACAGCAGCAGCGAGAGCATCGGATCTCTGCGCTCGAAATTCATCACTCCGGCCTCGAAAGCCAAGGGCAAGCATCATCATCATCATCAGCAGGCCACGCCGTCGTCGACGACCGTCGCCTCGCTCAACAGCAGCATCGGCAGCGGCTGCGGCGTCGTCGTCGGCGGCGTCGACGGTATTCGCGGCCAGCCGGGATGCATCAACAACAGTATTATACCGGAGGTTTCCAAAGAATTGCGTTTTATGAAAAAGCCAATCAGCGGTCACAAGTTTACTGACGACCGCGTTATACTAGTATCCTCGAAGAAAGTGCCATTCTTAGTCTTTTCGTCTATACCCTACAGCAAGGAGCAGCGTACCAGTTGGTGAGGAGCTTTTTTACTTTGAAATTTTATTCTGTCTCTAACAAACCAAAAAAAAGAATAGAAAAACTCTTCACAGTGACACAGTTTATACGACGTTATACACAGTTGTGCTTTTAGCTATAATAATACTTTGCACACATGACTTGATGATATTGAAATGTTTAAAAAATTATTTTTATAACATGTTAGCTTGCCAAATTCCGTCACTAGTTCGCCAGTCTTCCAAAAACTAACGAACGTCTCCAATCCGATTTTAAAAAGGTATACTGGTTACTCGCAATAGGATCGACTTTTTTCAGATACATGTGTAGATCGATTTTTTTTCACATTTTTTTTTCATGTATACTCACCAACACTTAGATTGCGAATGTTCACCATTAGATATTATCATGAACATTAACGAGAAAACCACCCAAAACATGAGCTTAGAGTCACTTAATGAACACCGCGGGATAAAAGCAAAAGTCATTGAGCTTATCGATTTGTTTATTTTTTTCTCCCTCCAACCCTCGTGTGGTGCACACAGGTCGGAGTTGCGCAAAGACGCCGGCCGTCGCAAAAACACCATCACGTCAAGGCCGCTCTCGTCGATAAACGACACGAGAGACCATCAGGATCCGTTCGGCTTGCTGGGCATCGAGCGAGCCCAGGAGGGTCAGCAGATATCGTACGCCCGCTTGTTGGAGCCGTCGAGGCAGTTTCAACAGCAGCAGCAAAAAGAGCAGCAGCCGCAGCAGCAGCAACGCAAGCCACACTTCAGCGACAGCGAGGCGATTGAACTGATGCACATTGCGTCGTCTAATAATAAACACCACGTCGTTTCAAGGTAAGCCAGCCGATACTCATACACGTAAAACGTTACTCCACACGTATGCATATACATACGTGCGCTGCGCGTCCGTAAAGAGAGCGAGAGAGCTTTTTCTCGCATTTTAACACGCTCCGTATTTATACATACTTTATTATAAAAATATCTGAATACAATTTTTTTTTAACAAAAAAAAAAAAAATAAACAAGTAAAAATATAATAATAAAATGACGGTCAACTAAAGTAAGAGCATCAATTTCAAACTAGTCAGGTAATTTTTTTTTTCACAAACACCTACACACTGGGTCGAGTAAGTACGAAATAACAACGATGATAATGTATTTGTCCGATAATTTGTTTCTTTTGTGGGTCGTTTTACAGATCACCGAAAATTGGCTATAATTTCGCGAAGTAAGTAACAGTGCACACAACAACAACAAAAACGCATATAATAAATAGGTGCATCATAATAGTAGGCGAGAATACTTAAAATGCAATTCATGCAAGCCGCAATTATTGCATCTGTAAAGCGAGTGAGGGAGAGAAAGATTAAAAGCGCCTTGCATTTTATCGTATGTATGTCATTTGTGTAAATGAGATAAATGCGCAAATACAAGATAGTAAGCCTTACTCTAGTTGACACTGGATTCGAGTTACGCATCGCATTTCATTTCACTTTTTTGTTACTAATGAAAAAAAAAAAAATACAAAACTCCGCCATTTCGGCGCTGCTTGTTGTGCGAGAATAAAAATAATAATCCTTTATACGTTATTTATATGAGTGTGAATCATGCATTCACCAGCATTTTCATAATTTACTTTTTTTGTTATTATCCTGCTTTGTTCACAACAGCCTTTGTTGTTTTATAAATGTTCTTTTTATAACCTTTCGTTATTGAATTGGCTCGTCGAAATTTTCAAATGTCGATGAATTTGTGTTTTTTTTTTCATTTTTTATTCGAAAACTGACCAAATATACATGTGTAATTATGTGACAAAAAATATCTTACGCTAGCTTTATTCAACAATTGCAGGACGAAAACCATAACGTGGAACAGGGATCATGCCAAGTGGTAAAGCATAATTTGCACAACTTTACAGATTTGTCTTTTTAAAATGATTAATTTGATAATGGATTTTTCTCTCAGTAATACTATCGATTGTTGTTTCGTTTCGTTTGAACAAAAATAGAAATGTTTACACTCGTGAGGTGTTGGGCCGAAAAATAAAACGAGTAAAAGAAAGCAGAAGCTTTACCGCGCGAGCTAGTAGCTATAGTACTATAATTAATGTAATTACCGACCACAAACCTCTATTATATTGTTAAACGCATGCTCGTCCATTCATTTACGCTGAATATTATTTTCTCTTCAGAGACCCCCTATAAATTTTTTTTTGTCACGACTCGCTCACACCGCATGCCGTAATTCACCTATATCATTGTTCAGCAGATTTTCAATATACATGTAAATAATAGCACTCATTGCACGCATTTTTGTTATCATTGTTATGAACGATCTGTTTGACCAGAAAAAGTAGAAATTGGAATCTCTCTCTTTCATTTTAAAAAAATTGCGCAACATTCGTGCACATAACAAATGCAAGCTTCAGCAGGAATTCCAGACTCTTTCTGTACACGTGCATTCCAAACACTTCGCATACATACGAGCGGCTTTTGTCAACTTTGTAAAATTCGTTCACAGTCGCCTTTGGGCTTGCAGTACACGAATTGATTTTTAATTTCATTCGAATTTCATCGGAAGTTAATCAATGAGAGTCAATTTACTTTCGAGTGCTGGATTTAAAAAGCTCGCAGTAGCAGTCGTTATATGCTCACTCGTAAATACTAGACATGCACTATTCTATTAGTCCGTACACAAGGTAGAACAGCTTTGGGCGCTCAACTCTTATTCTTTTTTTTTCCTCCCTTATATTATCCAAACGAAGAAGCGAGATACAATTTTTCATTCTGAATTGATCGTGTTTCAAGGTGCTTGTCGTACGACGTCGCTGCCACTCGCTTGCAACACACAGGAGACTCGCCACCCGTGGTTTTAGCTGAGTCAAAAGGTATGGGGTCAATCTCGGCTCGATGCACAACAAACAAATTACAACATTGATTAATTTACGCTTTTCTTTTTTGCCTCGCAGAATGGGACGACCAGATTCCGTACAATCCCAACTTGCTGGACGACCCCGAACTCATAGCTGGAAAGCACAGGACTTTGCTTACTTTCACGTCATACATGGTAATTATTTTAAACTCAATTCTGAGGAAATACTTTTTTTCCCACTCGGCTTACTTAACTTTTTGATTGAATTCTTGTTTGTATTAAAGACATCTGTGATCGATTACGTACGGCCAACGGACTTGAAAAAGGAATTGAACGATAAATTTCACGAAAAGTTTCCGCACATACAGCTAACTCTGAGCAAACTCAGAAGGTAAGTTTTTTACTTTACTTTTAATGAATCAGAAAAGAACGAGTATCGCAATGATTCATTTATTCGTTGCAGTTTGAAGAGGGAAATGCGAAAGATTGCCAAAATGGAAAATGGAGTGGATTTATTGACCGTCGCGATGGCCTACGTTTATTTCGAAAAATTGATTTTACGCAATGTCGTAACGAAACAAACGCGCAAATTATGTGCTGGCGCCTGCCTGCTGCTAGCTGCCAAACTCAACGACGTGAAAGGGCAAATTTTAAAGTCACTTATCGAGGTACCGCATTATATACATATGTCAAAAATCAATAGTCATGAATACGTATGTAATGTACTTACTCACGTACTTTTTTTACACTTTTTTTAGAGAACAGAAAGCGTCTTGCGGCTAAATCGAAAGGATCTTTTAAATTCCGAATTTGCGGTTTTAGTGGCTCTTGAATTTGGATTACATCTACCGACGTGGGAAATATTTCCACATTACCAGCGTCTTTTGTACGAATCTTGACCGATTATCATAATAACGGCATCGTTATATTAGGAATTAAACAAAAAGGTACCTGCTTAAAAACTTAGTATCCAAAAGTGAGGACTAAAAGCTTTAATTTGAATCGAAAAAGTGATATCTAAAATTGTGTTTCTAAGATTTTCAATTAATTAGGATTTTATAAAGTAAATGCCACTTTTCAAAAAATGTACTTGGCGTCGTTATATCTATAAGCAGAGATAATGTATTTTAAAGCATATGTATTTAATACAATCGTTGTGTCAACGATAGCCCTTAATAGTTAACGCGATATGATAATTGGATAATGATTAAGTACCAAATAGAAAATAATGAAAATCTTTATAAAACTTCTTATCTATTCAAATCTACACTTTGTTATCTTTAAAAGTTTTTTTAATATTAAAATATAAGTTCAAAGTTATTTCTTAAATGTTCTCATGCATAAAGCATTCAATGCTGGCATATGCAAAACATACATTTTTAAATAAAATTAAAAACCGAAAATAGGTTGTTGATTTTTCAAACTTAAAAAAACAGCTCTGTTTTTAACTCTGGCTTCACGCGTAATTATTACATATTGCTGTAACAAAAGCTGCAACTAATTTTCTCCTTACATAAGCAACCCTTTGTTTCTTACATTACGTAACAGTAATGTTCCGAGCATCTATATTTATTTTGAATGTCAAGTAGCTTATCTATTGATTTTTAGGGATCTTTTTATTCATACCGAGTCTGTTGAATTTATTTCTTGAATCGATTTTGTTGCTGTACTTAAATTTTTTGAATTCTATTAAACTTGAGCTGTTATCCTAATAAATAGTTTTATATTAAAACTAACGATTCTCTTGTTTATCAAGAAATCAATATTCAATGATGTAATATTTACGAATAACGTAATCGATAGAGTCAAATAGTGACGAAAAAGTATTGAATGGGCAACTTGCTGTTTGATATTATTGTGTAATTTTCTATGAACATTAGAATATATGCAAAAACAAAAATACTAATTAAATTATTAATAACATTTTTTCTTGCTTTACACACTATTCTAAAGTACAAAACCTTTTAATTTTTTCTTAATAATTTTAATCGCCGTTTCCACAAATTTATTGTGCTCTAAAATATGCATTTGAAATTGTTTAGAGGTGCTTTTCGATTATAAGATATTCGACTGAAATTTGTTAATACATTGTGCAAAAGTACTACTTTTCTGTCCTTGTATATACTTAACAAACTCCTCAATGAGTTATACAAATTTTACGTACATATAATCATGGTGAAAACAGAAAGCTAGATTTACGATCGTATGTGTAAGAGAAAAATATGTGTAATAACGTTTTAATCTGTATAATGTCTAGTAGCAGTCGGGAATTCATCAATTTCAATAAATACGCATAAATACAAGTTGATGTACTGAATAAATTGAAAGACTAAAAGTAACAAAATTAAGAAGTTGTGTGTGTTGATGAGAAGGGGTACAAATTATCATGATGAATATTATTATTGAAATCAGCTATAATATTGAAACATAAAATAATGCGCATGCGATTGTTAGGAAATGGCGTGTAAATAATAATAATTATTATTAAACGTGGCGAAGACGACATGTATTTTGCACCATTTTATACCCGATCGATTTCATTCGTAATTAATAATTCGTAATATTGTACGATATAAGTTTATTTTTATAAATATCTTCTACACTTCTTGTATGAAAAACAAAATGTTGAAAATCGAGTGAGCTGATGGGTCAAGAAAAAATTTTTTGTAATGAAAAACAGTAGACAATTGTTAAAGCAACTTTTGCATATTCGATGTTTTTAAAAGAAACATTTGTGTGTAGTTATCGCGAGACTGATGTGTATGAGTCACTTCGAGCGGTGTTTACTCGTTTGAGTGATATACGAGCGGGCGTTGGGATAACTACATGATTTTTTGCATATAGCTCATTCGATTGAATTGGTATCATGGTAGTTTTCAAAAATATATCTAAGCTCAGGGATGCTGGCTACATTTCGTGAAATTTTGGTTAATCTTGTCTAAATATATTCACGCTCGTACACATACAAACATATTTGTCTATGACTGTATGTGTATTCTATTTTACTTTGTTGGTCTTATTTCAGATATGTTCCATAAGCGTAGCTTATGCTTTTATTACTCTTATATATGTTTATTTACTTTTCTAGTCTATATTTTAGTAATGTATAAAAGTGTTTTTTTGTAAAGATTCTAAAGGATAGTCGTAAAGTCATTTACAATGTTACAGAAATAGTCAAATAAGGCTGTATGAAAATTTAACGTTTATGTGGTGCAAGACTCACTCCATCGTATTTATACAATTCGTCCGGGTTTTCATTTTGTTGTTTGCTTCATCGATAGTTTTCTATTATCAATTAACCAATTTACAGTCTTGAAACTTTAAAGAATAATTTCATCTTCATTTTTTTGTAAATATGCTATGTACAATTTATTAGGGGTGTAGAACAAAATACAATAATTTGGTGACTTGTAAATAGTTGATTAATCATAATTGAAAAAGTTTGTTTTTTTCATCAGAACAACGACGACGAAATCAAAGTTTTACGTTGGAGAAAAGTCGGGCAGTAATTTTTGTATTCGTAAAAGGGGATAATATAAATACGAGCTGGGTCTCTCTCTATTATACATAGCGATTATTTATTAATCTTATTATATAACTTCGATAGTACAATCTCTTTAAATTTACATACCAGAAAAAATAAGTACGTTCAATTGTATAACAACTTCTGAAATTTATAACCACAAAAACAATTTTCTTCGATCATATTGTATACCGAATAAAGTAACAAATAAAAAGTAAAAAGAAACCGTTGTACTATCTAATTAAAAATAAATAATAATAAATCACGATTAAATGGTAATTGTTATATAAAACTTGTAAATTTGACTATCATCGTTCCCTCGTTCCCCTCTATTCGCACCAAACAGCAAACTTATTTGAATGGAAATTGAAAATTAGAGAGATGCGATTACGAAACTAAGTGGAGGCGCTCGTTCGCAGAATCAATCTCTCTCTCTCAAAGCTCTATCATCGGGTGCTTACAGCTTTTATAAAGCTTCTCTCTCAATGCGCGTCAATGGGCCGCGCGATAACGCCCAACAGTATACATATACGACGAAAAGTGTTTGACGCAATTTCTAAAAATCTATGTAAATACGGCAAAGGGTCTATTAGCTAAGTGCCGTGATCGTGCTATTACGTTCTTAATCCGTTTCGCGTGTTATTCAGCGGTTTTTCGGGTGTTCCCGGCTCGGCGCGCTTTGTAACGCGCGAGACTCGTATGTACATATAATCGAGTTTAACGACCTCGTAACACTTTTTTTTGCTACACATCCATTCGTAAATATACGTAGGTAATTGTGCTGGAAAAAAGCTCGAATATTGCACAACATTGTGTGACAAAATAATATATATGCCAAATAAGTTCGCAGCACTAGTGAGCGCGTGCCCAACAGATAATGCCACTCTCGCGAATCGTCGCGTGACAAAGTATAATAAGTCGGCGCGGTGGTGTTGGCGGGCAATGTACAATGTCTATCGATTTCGGAGTGACGCTCGCCTCATTAAAGCAATCGAGGAGAGAGAGAGAGAGAGAGAGAAAGAGAGGATAGATCGGCTCGAGGGTAATACTGTAACAATTTCATTTGTGCCTGTGTGTGTGTGTATTTAAAACGGGCCGTATCGTGTCGATCGGAATCACGGCTGGCAGCACACACCGCGACTAACCGCGTCAAAGTAGAATCATCGTCGTGTTGTGTGTATGTGTCTGCGGGTTTTTCAGAGCTCTTACTCATACAATAGAGAGTCGGCGCGCTAAAGCGACTTCACCTTGACACCCAATCGCGCGCTGCTACTGCTCCCCCAGTCGAGTAAATACAATTACGACGCCCTCGCCGCGGCGCCGATCTCCTCCGACTAGACTCCTCTTCTTCTTCTCTTTATTCTTTTTCTTTTCATTTTAAATATTTGCCGAAATCACGCTCGTGTCGGTACAGTCTTGCACGGACAGCAAGTAGTGGTAGATGGTATTAAATCTGCTTCTGCTGCTAAGCACTCGAAGCACAAGTATTGCGTCCTGCAGCTGTATACGTATCCGGCAATATCGAGGGTTACTTTGGCGCAGCGGCAGCGATCCTCCGACGTAAGCAAGATCCGACGTTCGCGCGGGTGTAGCAGGAGGCGGCGGCGGCGGTTCGTATCAGATCGGCAACGTCGATTACAAGACTCCGCTGCGCCTCGATTGTATTTGCATAGTTGTATTGTGTGCGGAGCTATTGGCGCGCGCGCGTGCATCTAATGCAATATATACAGTTACGAGCTGGCGCGGTGTTATATACCTGCGACATAACGATAGTAGGCAGCCCCGCCAAGGTCATTGTCGGACGTACTACGATGTATAGTCAGCCGCACATCGGTGGAAAAAGGTCTATATAATACGTATATTCGCGAACGAGATTATCGGTGCATGCACACTCGAGCGAGTATAGACTGCTGCATAATATACATATATCGGCACGTGTAGCAGTAGTACGTATCGGCAGTATGGATCGCGTGTAAATGCAGGGCTTCTTGGCTCTTGTACTCGTAGTCGTTGTATCTTGCACTTGTGTGTGCTTGCAGCGCAGTGCTTCGGCTTCTGCCGTTCGATCGGTATAACGTCTTTGGCAGTCGGTCGGTCGAGCGCCAAACGAGCGGTACTACTCCCTCGTCGCTGGCTCTCTCTCTCTGTATCGCGTGCAGTGCAGTGATGGGTGTCTCGAGCGAGGACGTGCTCTCGTTCTCGCGCCAGCTGTCCTCCTGGTGGTCCGAGGAGGCCGAGTACGTGCTGCAGCGCATCGAGCGCTGGGCCGCCTACGCCCGGGGCTACAATCGTCTGAGATCGGTGCGACTGTCGCCGGGCCGCATGACCATGCAGGACGAGCCCGAGGCCCGCTGGACCATCAACAAGAGCACCCAGAGGCTCGAGGTCGAGGAGGACTGGGCGCCGAGCTTCACGCGACGTCGCGGTGGCGGTCCGATACAGGAGAGATCGAGGCTCAACTGCTGTCCCATGGATTACAAGTCGGCGGGCAAGCTCGAGAGTAGATGCCTCGAGGAGTACAGCATGGACCACAGCATTTACTTCAAGACGATCGGCGATCTGCGCCAGTCCAACTCCAACCGATCGATCGCCTCCGAGATCAATGGAAACAACAGCAACGGCAGCAGCAGCAACAGCGTGAAAAGTCCGACTCAGCTGCCGCTCGACTGTGGCGACTTTTTGTCTTCCGATTTCGACGACGACGAGGAGGACGAGGACGACGACGAGGCGGAGCTTGCGGAGCTCGACGCGGCCGATTACGAGCTGAGAGAGCAGCTGGACAGGCTCGAGGCGGACCGTCGCAGAATCAACAACGGCAGCAATGGCAACAGTATCGGTAGCGGGATAGTCCAGCTGTGCCGCAGCTGTATCGACGACACGACCAGTCATCAATTGGACGAGTTGAACGGCAACTACAGTCGTCGCTCATCGACGGCGGCTCTCCAGCCCCGAGCCAACAACCTCGTGCTACTGGCAGCTCAGTAAACAACACAACAAAAACGTAAAAAAAAAAAAAGAAATCACGAAGTAAAGTTTGTAAATATATAATTAAGTTTCCGTATATATAAGTATTATAGTTTCGTCACAGTAGCAAAACACACACGGCATATCGGAGCCATGTATCGTTTGAAAAAAATAAAATCCGGAATGTGAGTGAATATTAGCTCGAGTGCGTGAGTGTTCTAGTCACACTGTAATGTATACACAGTAGCAGTCTGTGTACACAATCGAGCGAGTGCGTGTGGACTAATGGAACAAATATAATTATATGGTCATCGGTGCTATACAACACACAACACACGCGTTCGTCTTCATTACTAGTACAGAAGTACAGTTCACTGTAGTAGAATAATAAAGTATTTTGTAATAGCCGCGCTCTGCTGACAGTACTCGTCGGCCGTCGCGTTGCATCTGCTCGCTGCTATCACGCCGATCGTCTCCAGTCAGCTCGCGTGCTATACGTTGTGCAGTGAGCGCGGGGTCGACGCTTGCGCACCAGCCAGCCACCCCCGCTGCTATATCTGTATATGGACAACCCCATCGCGCTCTATATGTATTGGAGGCATGGCGCTTACACACGTTTGAGCTGAGTATATCGTATCAAGATCGTGTGCCATGTATATGTCTGTGTGTGTGTGTGTGCGACGGCGGCGGCGCGTTGACATCATCGATCGAGACCGTACGAGACTACGGCGACGAGGTAGTGCTGCTGCTACTGCGCGTTGCCGAGTTATGCATGTACGCCGTATAAAGACACAACACACCGACGCGTTACACACACAGGCATGGACCCTTTGCACAGCTTACACACACGGCTAGGGGAGAGCAAAATGTGTAGCGTGTATAGCGCGCGCATGTATACATATCGCGCGCTCAGCAGCACACGGGGAGAATATATAGAGTGAGTGGAGGCGAGCGAGCGCACGCAATCAAGGAACAAGTCCAAGTGCGAGCGTAGCGAAGGGGGCCAGCCAGCCAGCCAGCCAGCACAGATATCTCGTCGTGGCCGTCGCCAGCAGCGTTCAGTCGTGTGTTGGCCCGTTTGACACAAGCGGGCATAAGCGCGCTGCTCGCCTAGCTCTGCTGCTCGCAAAACCAGCCCGTAGTATAGTGCTGCTACAGTGGCTTAGAGCTAGGATATCGTGTGCGTAATAATTATCAACTCGTCGTAACGCGCGTGACAAGAGAGCTCGTAATTGTTGTGCAAAAAGAAAAAAAGCTCAGGGTTCAGCGACAGCTTTAAAATGGCCAAACAATTGCAGAGCGTGGCCGCGGTGGCCTGCATGACCACCTTCCTCATGCTCTTCAACATCGCCTTCTTCGTAAGTAGCGACAATTATTATCTAATTTATAATTATGATTATCAGGCGCACGTTGTTTACTTAATACAAAAATGTATGTGCTTGCAAAACAGGGCTCGGGCTTGTTCCTGCATCTCGGCGGCATCTACATGAAGCTCTGGCTGCAGGACTACTTCAACGTCGGCATGGACGGCCACGGGGGCTACGTCTTCATAGCCATCGCCAGCCTGGGTGGACTCGTTGCCCTGGCCGCGCTCTTCGCCTGCTGCTGCGCCGCCAGGCAGCATCCAGCCCTTCTCTACCTCGTGAGTACCTACATCCTATAATGCACTTATCTACTCTACTCTACTCTCTCTCGTTTATATATGCCTGCGAGCGAGCGAGCGAGCTTTCGCTCCAAAACCTATACTCAGCTTCCATCCCCCTTCGAATCTTCTTGCGAGAGTTAAAAAGCTCTCTAGGCGAGAGACTTTTCTCTTGCTCTTTCTCTCGCGAGCGAGAGCGAGTACAAGTCGAGGAAGAAGAAAACTGTCGCTAAGAGCCTAAGAGAGCGAGAGGGATGCGTGACCTGGTTTTCTTTTTTCCTCTCTCTCTCTCTCTCTCTCTCTTCTTCCTTTCTGCAACTCTCTCGCGGATCGCGTGCTGCTACTGCTGCATTATAACTATATACGTGTACGTATAATATCTAGGTATATACACGGCCCCACACACGTCCCTCTCTCCGTGCTTTAATATACGGAACGCGCGCGTCGCAGTTCTGGACCGCGCTACTCTCTGCCAGCCAGCCAGCCAGCCTCCTCTATACTGCTACACTGCTGCTGCTGCAGCTGACCTAGTCTCGCCCGCGTGTGTGTTCGTATGTCTCTGTGAACGTGAGGTAACGCGCCTTGCGCTCGAGTTAAAGGGGTTCGTGAATTTGCAATGAGAGGATTTTCTCTGTTTAACTGTGAGAGAGAGAGAGGGAAAAACGAGACTGCGACTGAGAAGCGAGAGAGCTTTTTCTTTTTGTTTCATTGCGCAGAAAAAAAGAGCTTCCTCTTCGTCTCAATGATCTCCGCTATGATACGCTTTGAATCGCTTCGATCGCCTGCAATGATTCGCTCTTTTGCGACGCTATATCAAATGCCAAGCGTCAGACAAAGCTCTCTATTATTTTCCTTTCTATTTTTTTTTTCGAGCAAGTAATCGTCGATCGCGTCAATAGACTCTAACGGGCTATTTACGGCCTCCGGAGGGGATGCAGCAGCAGCAGTAGCAGTAGTAGTGTCTCGTTGTGACCGTTGTGCATGTATGATAGTACGTATTCATCGACAAGAGGCTGCTGCGTTTGTTTACTATATACCTAGCCTCCCCCGCAATCGCAGGCGTGAAAGCGAAAGTGCCATCCTCTCTCTGTGTAGGCTCTACAGTGCAGTAGCTTCGACCAACGCGTGTATACCATAGCATATAGACGCGCACGATACGTACACTGTATATAAATGGCAATGAGATCGGAGCGCGCTATATATAGGTCTTGGAAACGAGATTTCTCGGGAGAGGCAGGATCAGTCAGCGGAGCAGCGATTGACTTTACGAAAGAAAAATCGATGCGCGTCCCTTGTATACACAAGTGCACAGCAGCGCACGGCTCGGTTGGATAATTCTGCAAAATTGGGATAACAAAGCTGTGTATGTTTGCATATACACGAGCGCGCGCATTCACCTATATATTATCGCGTCTAGAATTGGCGCGCTCGTGTCGCGAGCTTGCAAGCTCCCTTACTACTCTTGCGCGCGCGCGCGCTTCAGGCGTTGATACTGCTGCTGCTGCTGCTGCTGCGAGTGCAGTGTGGTATTTTGGCATTTGCGGTGTTATAATGTACGCGCAGCAGTTTTGCATCATAAGCTATAGCTAGCTCCGTGCACTGCACTGCACTGAACTGAACTGAACTAGGCGAGCTGGCGCATACGAGACGCGCACGCGGGACTGGAGCCTGTTTGTTTGCTCCAGATATCTGCTGCACTACGCGCGACGGCAGCAGCAGCAGCAGCAGGCGGTACAAGAGCAGCACGGAAACTCGCTGCTGCTGCTGCTGCGATGAAAACCAGGTCAGCGGGGTCAGGTACCTTTGTTGCCGCGGTGCAGGCTACTATTACTGCTGGCTGCTGCTACTGCTGATGTTCTCTCTCGCTCTCTCGTTGTCTCATTCTCTCGCTCGTGCACTTTGTCTTTTCACATGTTTTATAAAAAAAAATGAAAATGAAAGAAAGCTCAGACAACGAACTCGTTATACCCCTTTCGTTCTTGATACCTTTATTCTTTGCCCGCTACCATCTTTTGATGAAACGGAACGAACAAAAAAAAACCGAAAAATGAGAGAGAAAAAATGTGTGTTTGTCATGCCCGCAGTACGGAGCTTTTCTCGCGGTGATCGCGCTGCTGGAACTGGGTGCCGCGGCCTCGGTCTACACCTATCGCACGACCGTCATCGAGGGCTTCGATCGCGCCCTCAACGACAGCCTCCTGGCCTACGGCGTCGACAAGACCAAGAGCTTCCACCTCGACATCATGCAGAGCACGGTAAGCCTCTATAGGACAACGCACTCGTGGCGGACAAAAAGAAATTACTCATGGTTTTTCCTTTGTTTTTCTTCGTCCACGTATAGTTCCACTGCTGCGGCAACAGGGCATATACCGATTACTTGAATATGCAACCCACCAAGATGGTACCGAGCTCGTGCTGCAGCGTGCAGGAGGGCGAGTGCGACACCACCGACACCGAGGACATTTACACCGAGGTACGTACTCCGATCCTTTTTTTCTCCACGAATCACGATCCTCGAAAATTGTGCTAAATGGCATCCCTCGATGTGCGCAGGGCTGCTACAACCGAGTGCTGAACTTCATCAGGAGCAACGTGGGCCTGGTGGCGGGCTGCACCCTCGGGGTGGCCGCCGCGCCGCTGATCGGCGTGCTGCTCAGCTGCTGCTTGGCGAGCTACATCAACAAGATCCACTACGAGCAGATATCTTAGACAGCGCGAACGAGTTGCGACAGGAGATCGAGTGCACAGCAGTATAATCAGTCATACGTCACGTCGAACGCCGCGAGCGGCGGCGCCGCGTCCAAGTCGGCCCTCAAGCCCAGCCAGTTCCGCAGCGATCTGTGCCGCGACCTGTATCGGCCGGGGGTCAACGGCGGCGGCAGCGGCACGCCGACCTCCATGAAGGGCCGGCTGCCGTCTATCGTCCCGCCCGGGGCCAACGACTGCCCCTACTGTCGGGAGTACGCCGCGGCCGAGATAAGCGATCGTCGCCGCTTCAATTTGCGCACGTTCGAACCGTCACCCTCATCGCATCGCATGATCCCATACTGTTAAATCTTCATATCACCAATCATCCAATCATCATTCGCCTCGACGATATCGAAAGCTCTAATAAGGCATCTTCGATCTTTTTTAGTTTTTTTTAATCATCCTAAAGGAGAATGGGAATCTACGAAAATTAAAAAAAAAAAAAAAGAAAAAAAGAAAAGCTCGCTCTATACAATATATGCAACACATGTGTATATATTGCGTAAGGAGGAGGACAAGCCGCAAAGCGTGAGACAAACGGTGTACCTTATGTCATACTCTCACAATGCACGCAAAGCGTGTATGATTATATTTTTCTAATCACTCATCTGACGGACGTAAACGACGACGACGACGACGACGATAATGACGACTACAAACGACAAAAACATCAACAAAAACAAAAAAACATTCATCCCCGCAACCATGCTTCATCTCTTCATGAATATACTGACCCGAACATCAATGGAAGAAAAAATAAGAATAAAAGCGCGTTGGACGATCCCGCGCGCACACGTCAACTCTGGGGTTTGTTCTCTTTGGGAATTGTGGAATTGAATTAAAAAAAAAATACCTGACACGCCGAATGGACAACAAACTTGCACACGTATTATTAATAATATAATATAGCAAAGAGAGCAAAACTGTGACAAATGTGTGTGTGCGCGCGCGGGACGTATACCGCGCGAATATAAAATAAAATATTACGTGTTGTATCCCAGATATATATTAGTAAAATGTGTCAAATCCTTAAAATTCCGTCGACTCCCAACGTGATGTGTGTGTGCGTACTCAGTATTAAATACCAAACACAAAACAAGTCTCTTTATCAATAAGTAGGAAATAATAACAAAACGATGAAAAAAAGTCGATTCGGTAGATTATTATTATTAAATAGCAGACGCTTGAAGATGATACATAATGTAACACATATTACGATATACATAAATATTAATAAGGAAAGAGAATGAGAAAAGAGATTGAGGAAGAAAGGAACAAAGTACATGTCGTTTCGCAGACGAGAGGAATTGTATATGATCTGGGATATAGACACAGGATACTCAGTGCACTATATTTTCTGTCGTGATCTCTCGGATGTAACATATTGTTGGGACACGCAACAAAGCCAACAAAAAAAACCAGTTGCAGCAGCTACAACAACCGCAAAAACAAGTAGTAGAGAACAAAAAAAAACCAGGATTATAGAAATCAATCCGGACATTATATACACACACATTATACAAGTTGTAAGAAAATTTCAAAGAAGATTAATAGATAAAAATCGCCAAGAAAAGTCTGATAAAATACGTATTATAAAGCAAACAATGGCCAAAAAATAACTAATTGCATTTACTGATGATGATGATGATGAAATCCGATGATCTGGTAAATACATTATCCACGTACGTGCTGATGTGTATCAAAATACACGCACGAATTATATACACAAATTGTTGAACAAAAAAAATATAAACAACACAAGAAAATTACGGTAATATCAGATATTATTATAATTTACAAAGTATTACTCATAGTGATATATAAAAAAATTTTAAAGAAGATGATGCAATTATTAAAAAAAAACTTAGATTATGTAAACGTCCTCTTTGCGAAGACTTCTTATTAGATAAGAGGGATTCTGTGGTCGTCGATATGCCGATGTTATTGTACTGGTCTAATAATAAAGTATCGAAAAAAAAATTCTTGAATAAAATAGAAGCAACTAATAAACCAAACTCATAGAGCATTCATGATCAGCCTTGCACAGATCTTAATAACACTTACACACAGAAAACCATCAGCTTTTCTTAGCGAATAACTCTTGTGATTGTATATTTCGTTAGGTCGATTTTTATGTGGGCGCTCGATTCGACTCATATAATATGAATAATAATGATACATAAATATAAATAAAAAAAATGAAAGAAAGAAAAAAAAACGAAAAAAAAGGTACCGACTAAAATAGCCCTGGTGAAAAATATTGTGTACAGAGACGCGCTTTTTTCATCATCAATCCAAAATCTACACAACTCGTTTTAAGGCGAACAAAAAATATGTATTGTACACTTTTAATCATTTTATAATAATGTTAAGCTAAAAAAAAGAGACATTTCCAAAAGTTCTTTCTTAATCTATACTTGTGTGAACTATGATGAATGATTTTTTAAGTAAGAAAAAGTTGAGTAAAAAAGTATTGAAGATCAAATGATGAAAAAATACACAAGCATGATTTTTTATAAATTTTCCAACGAAAGTCTGATACGTGAGATTTTTTAAAAGCATATTTTAGAGACTCTTGTATAGTACAATTATGATACGACGATATTAAATAGGAAAATATATGCTAAGTTTGTATACTTTTTGATGAAATGTGTCACTTATTCAGCAGTAAAAAAAGTAATGATATACTTTGCAACGATGGATAAAAGCATGTTTACAACACATTATACAACACTTACACACACATTAACACATTCCAAACCTAATCAGGACGTTTTCCATATTATCATAATTATTATAATTGTCGTTTATTATGATTATTGCGACTCGCCGAGCGAGCGAAATCGAATATCAATTAAATTGGACGATTAAAAAGCAACAACAAATGAAAATCATGTCATCGCGTTTGAATCGCAAAATATTATTTTGCCAGGGCTGTCAGTGATTTAGTATAATTATAGTTGACGTATATTTTTCACGAAAAAATGATATATAAATAAAGAAAGTTTAAGAATGAAGCAGTTGGAGGGCGACGAAATAACAAAACAAAAAATATGAAAAAATAAGAGTCAAAGAGAAGGGGGTGGGAGACAAATATTTATCGATCATATTTTTGGTGGTAATGATAATGATGACGATGATTATGATGATGGCGACGATGAGCCATGGTTACGGGAATAAAAACAGGGCGACAAGACGACGGACGGGTGTGTTGCATGCTTGTATGGAAGTTGAAATAATGTACAAATATATGGATACATGTATGCATGCGTATAAATGCATACAAATATTTATATATAATATAGAATCATATAAATATATAAATAATTTAAAAACTGAGAAAAAACTAATAAGGCGTGCATGAGCATTTTCAGCAATCATTAAAAAAAAAGTAATAATAGTACGAAATTTCTTCATGACGAAAAAGGCAAAGACACCTATAACTTCTATGTATTTATTGTTACATAAATGTTTCAAAATAATGATTTATATACTTTTACCTCCTTAAAAAATCGAAACAACATTGCAGAAGTGAATGCAGAATTATTGAATATTGATAAAAAAATATGTCGATTTGGAAATAGCGTAACGAAATAATAAGTCAATGAGTCATGTTTGCTAGCTATATTATTATCTTCAACTATTTTGAGAAAAGAAAAATCACGATTGCGAGCTAAATATCATTCTCGTGAAGAAGCATTTATTGTCACAAAACTTAATGTAATTCTTCAAAGTATGTTATATATCAAATGATTCTAAATAAAAACTGAATTCCTTCTCCAAAGTATTCTTCTTTATTATTATTTTCTTCTTGAAAAAATCTCGTAGATTATGAAGGTGTAAAAAACTTTTGACGAAAATAAATTGCATGATATTCGATTATATTTGGTAAAACATTTACAAGTACAATTTTTTGTTGTTATTTTTTTGTTTTTTAATTTCTGTTTCGTTCAACGTAGTTTTGTTGTAATAATTAATGATAATAATCATGGTACTCTACATGTACAGGCAAGGCATCGTCGAAGACCGTACCAACTTTTTTCAATATATTTATTTGTAGTAATTATCTAGTTATCTCAATGTCGTTTACGTGTTTACTCAATAAGAAAAGTATGTACCATTAAATCATTTTTAAAATTTTTCCATCACTCGTTTAAATTTTATATTACCGTAATATATTTATAAATGTACCCTACGTTTACTTTTCAATAATTTTTTCTTTATATTTTCAGGAACAAATACATCTTTTTTTTTATTTCTGCTTAAATCCACTTATACAGCAATTCGTCGCGATCGCCACATAGCAAAGTGGGTCATTCACCCCATTTTTTTTCTATATACCGTGTGCACGTGTACATATCCAAAAAATCATTTCAATTTCAGCCAGTGTGCACAATACAATAATTAAAAGAGACGAGACTTAAAACAGCACACGTGATCGATGCTATTTTTTTAAATTTATTTCCTAATCAATTCTCTGTACACTTAAAATCGTTATTTTTTGTTTTTCGTGAAACTTTTTTTTCTATATATCACCACTTTTTTAAATTGTATCATATTTACGCACGAAAGTTCGCGACATTGTTTATCGTAACGAAGATGCATCAATTTTCATTTATTTGAATAGTTTTAATCATATATTATATACGTATAAATATGTGGATACAGCTATACATTAGGATGTCACTCAGTTCTCAAGTTACATGGAACTTCGCTCCAAGCTATAGAAACTTTTTTATACATTTACTTTTTGAAATTTTTTGACTATTTTATATAGTCATTTAATTGTCACAGTAATTTAGCAGGACATTTTCAAAATTAAAAAACTCTTCGGAAAATTCTGAAAAAATTCACACGAGCTTTTTCATTGGTTGTTAGACTTTTTTGAAAAATCGTAGAATCGTAATTACGAATTTTTTCATTTTTAGTTTCAAACAAACTTTTGAAACCACAGGAATGAGGTCCCCTACAATTTGGCAACTTAAGTGACACCCTACTATACATATATATTATACGAAGCGTCGCACACATCAAGTCCATCGCTACGTTTAAATTTCCACTCTTCATTATCACAGAGTTATACAGTTTTTTTTTATTCCTTGCGTAACAGTTTATAGTTTTCTTACCCGGTTAATTATGAATTTGTTACCGTTTTTTTTAAGTGTATCCAAGTTCTTGAATTTTTTGGACGAACAAATGAAATCATGCTTTGTTTCTATCATAATCGTAAAAGATATCAAGCTCAAGTACTCGCACGCACAAAATTACCGTATGAAAATGTAAAAAATCCATCGCTGTGTCGACTTTCTCTCTTATTTATTATGAGTTATCAATTAATAGGTTTGAAGCGAAAAAAAATTATTTCATTATTGAGCAGTTGAGATCGAAGTCCCATTAACGGAGACATTGACGGGTACGCTGCTTAATAAATGCAATTGCCTGTCTGAAAAATTGTCTATGATTATAATTATTTTATGAATATTTCGTTAATGTATTCGAAGCGTCTGGCTATTGTGAGTAAGTGCATTGATGAGTAAGACTATTGTTATAAATTGCGTATGATAGTATGCTTGCAGTTATTATTTATTATATTGAGAAAAGAGAGAAACAGACATGGGCAAAGACATTATGAATTTCGACTATAAAAAAATTCTTTATAGTTGCAATAAAAATTAAATGTTAAGCAACAGAAAAAAATGTGTTTATCATAGGAAAGATATATTTCCATGGCAGAGATTCACGGAAAGATTCATGAACCTAGATTTCAAGAGTGAAGAGATTTTGCCAAATTTCGTTTTTTCCATTGTTTCTATGATTTTATTTTACTTAGTGTACCGCCGTTCACTGAATGGGTATGAAACGGTTTAAAATACATATTTTTAACATAATTTTTCATTTCATCCAAGCTGGAATGTCACACAGTAACTTTTTTTTTAAATTCATTTATTTTTGACTGCGAGACAAGTATCGCAAGTTCTACAAGTTCAATTATAATTTTTTTGTAATTTACAATTTTCATATATACATCAAGAATACACGCATCAGACATTTACGCATTTTTTCTATAATATTGAGAATTTTCATAGATTCAAAGTAGCCGAATCGAATTCATCTTTCTCATTCTTCCACACTTCATTCTTTTAATCATTTTATCATAAACGTTAATGCTTACTATTAACTTAATTAGCGGAAATATACATCTAACTGATGATAATAATGATAATATACACCACCTCGTGTGGTACAATAGACTATGTACAAAAATAACATAAGAAATAAAAAGTCTCTTACATCCAATGATCATATCAAATAAAATTGAGAGAGATAAATTACGTCTTTGAAGAAAATTTGCACTTATTTATCTGAGGGAAGTACGCATATGTTACAGTAGACAGGAACGAGTTTAAATGCACATTTGTATATTAGTCTTCCTTTGAAAACGCCTCGCTTCCTACTTTCAAATAAATGTTCTTTCACCCCAGAGTTTCGATAACACGTAAAAATCCATTGAGTAAATAAATTTTACCAATAATACACTTGAACGCGACTTACGTATACATAGTTTATATGTGTAATTGTATTATAGAATATTTTATATTCGCAAAGTATCTTTGGTTGCAAAGTGATGTCTAGCGAAAGACCAAGAAAGTATGCGTACGTTTCTTTCTTTATTTTATATAAATTCAATCGTGACAAGATGGTCCCAGCTGTATATTAATATAGTTTTTTTTCACTTTATGCCGAAAAATGCCGAATGGATCCCAAACGTTTACTTTTTGTTTGAATTCTAAGTTCGTAGAACGCATCTACGTTTTCAATTAATTTTATTTAATAATTTCCATTTAGATATTCTAAGTATTGATATTTAAGCCATACACAATATAGATCGGAAATTTTTCATTACAATTATTTTGACTTAATCGAGCAAGTTAAGTTCATTTTATAATTTTTTTTCTTAAATTTAGTAGTTTAACGTTTAGCCTCCCATCTTGTCGCACCCTTTGAAAAATGCGCTCTAGCAAATGAGCCCGTTATCCCTGTTGTCACTTATATCACACATCTATCAAATACACGTATAGATATAAATTAATGTATGTGCGTACACGCGTTATACAGCTTTATATTGATACATGATATATTTACAGAGAATATTTTTCCCTTTTTTTCAATTCTGTTAGCGCGTTTTATCAACACTTTCCTCTGAGAAAAAATTAATTTGCGAATTTATAAAAGATCACGCTTCGCAGATGATATAAAACAATCGCAAGAAAAAAAAGTAAAATTATTATCTACTATAATCGATATGATAATAAAATAAATATTAATAATATTATAATAATAAGATAATAACTATAATAATAATAATAATGATAATAATAATAATAATAATAATAATAATAGTAATAATAATAATAATAATAAATAATCAAGAAAATTTCAACATATAAAATAAACTCACATCTAATTAATCTAGTCAATAAAATATATAATCAACGATTTTTTTTCAAATAAATGTCAGACACTGCTCAATCGACTTACTACAAAGTTAGAAAAAATTGCAGCTACTCTCATATAGTTTTTTTGCCCGCTACGTACTCGACATCCACGTGCACATATACATCATATATATTTTTTCTTTTTGTTAAGTAAATATCCTTGTAAATCTTTTTAATGTTTTTTTATTTCTTTCATTATAATTTCATCCTATTTACACCCTGTATCGTCGAATATATTTATACAACAATATATATTACGCTATATATAATTTTAATGACGCCGATAGGCGCTGTCGTAATTTTCTTTAAATTCATCTGTCATACATATAATATTATTATAAAGGATAATTTTTTTTATCCACTGTCGCGCATGGCGAGTACGCGAAATTTTCTTCCTTATTATTTTTTTTTTGTCGTAATTGAGAAAGTGAATTATAATAATGATGCTGCTATGTATGTATGCGTGGCCTAAGTATCTTTTGTTTTGTCATTAAGCATGAACTTTATGGGTATGTACTTATGACATCTGCGATTGAGCGATCAAAAGTGCCTCGAGTTCATCGGCAGATCGAAGCAGAAAAGCAGCGGATTCTCGATAGCCCGTTACCAGGGCTCTGACCGCAGCCAATTCTGTTGGATTCAGTTTGTGATTGATTAGAGGTTGTTTCGTTGAGTTCTTCATACTCAAATCTGTAGGTCCTGTTGATAAGTTAAAAAGCGTTTTAGAGTTTCTTTTTCCACTTGACTTAAAGTATAAATGTATCAAAAATTGGAGCTAAAAAATACTTACGTGATGTACCATTGCTGAGCAGTCCCGCGGGAAAACTCTGAGCAGGATGAAGCCCGACGAACTGTCCGGGCTGCATACCGGTCGGCGCGTTTCGCTGCTGAAAAGCTTGGCCGAAATTCGGTCGGAACATGGCGGTGGTGGTTCCGGCAGCCGCGAGCGCCGCCGCGGTGGCGATACTGCCGATTCCGTTCGACGTCGAGCTCATCGTGGCTTGGCTCTGCATCGGCTTATTGTCGCTCTGGGCGTGCATCTTGGACGACGGGGTTAGCGCCAGGGGCGAGCTCGACAGGTTGGATGAGCTATTCTGGAGATTGGCCATGCTCGTCAACGGAGTGTGAGCCGCCTGGGCCGTGGGCGGCGTGTCCTCTCGTTTGACCTGTTTGACTACCGGATTCCCAGAATAGTGATCCATGCCGACTCTAGAGTCCGTCTGCTGTTATTGAGAAAACAAAGAGATTAATAAAGGAGAAATAGGACCTATATTACCTAGTATATGCGTGAGCTTCTCTTTTATGGGACCGAAGTGACTAATTAAAAAATAGAGAAAGACAAATGAGAGGTGTAAAGTGTCAAAAGCAGAAACTCGGCGCTCGCGTGTTCGGTGACGCACGTGGTTTCAAATATTTCGTCGCTGAGGGACACTTCTTCAATAAAGCGCTACATTTTTCAAACTCGCTTTTTAGGATAAATGAAGAAAATTCCAAAAATATATTTCATTTGCGAATTTAGATTGAATTTTTCTGCAAGAAAATCGAATTTCAAATTCTGTCATATACTGTAAACAAACACTACGTCAGAAGTATTTACATCGAGAGCGAAAAGAGAGAAATCAGGACATCGAATGCGTGTTTCAACTTCACATTCCGTTTGAACAACAAATTAAAGAAGTAGCGTTTTATTAGAAGAGAAAAAGTTTATACGAATCTCAATGAACATGTGCGCGCCAGTACATCGTTGGCATTTTTACGAGACACAGAGCAAGCAATATACCCGAAGAGATAATTAAAATTAAAAAAGTCCTCAAGTGAGATCGTTTACCTCTTCTTCACGCATTCGTTTTGTTTTCGCGGGTGCTTCATAGATACGCACTGGCGAAGTGTTATGAATAATTTTTTGGTTTTTAATCCTCATTTTGTCCGTAAGCAAGGCTAAAAACCTTAACGATCACAATCACAACAATCACTCGTTCAAACACTCGTTGGATCCACTCGCGCACAAAGCACTTTAACTCGGGGCGCGACGATGCGCGTTCTCGCGAAACCAAAACACACTTTAGAGAACGAGAGAGCGAAAAGGGTCACTCGGAAAACGAACTGTTTATAGACGCACACGCTGCTCTCTTGGCCACCCGCGCTCTTTGCCTTACCGTAGCCAACTAACTAACTCGGTAACAAGTGTTCTCTCGCGCGCACGCTTGTCTCCTTATGTGCGTGTATTGGTGTGCACACGCGTTCGCCCGCCTATGTGTACGTGTGTGAGCGTAGAGCACGCTAGAGTTGCGTTACATTCATAATATCGTAATATAAAAATAAACGTGAAACTCCGAGCGCGCACCAGTCCCGTGTACGTCCGATACTGATGAGCACGCAGGCATCATCATCTGTGCATACTATTTGATCGTCATTAGAAAGTAGGTATTATAGGCAGATATAAGAGGAGTAGCAGAAGCCCAACTAACACATCTTTGTCGCACGCATGGCTACGGGGGAGGGGCTAAAACCTATACTCTCGTATTACAGAAGTAACTTCTCTCTCTCTCTCTCTCTTTCTCATTCGTTCTTGATCTCTCACTTTTCCGTGCTTGTACAATCTCTTTAGACTACAGCATCTATCGCCATCGGTATAACCAAACCTATCTCATAACGCCTCGTGCTGCGCAAGTTCGTGCGTTCTAATCTCAGCTTTTTGCTTGCTTAAAGAGAAAAAGACCTCAAGGGCACATGGAGTTTGAATTTTTTCGGTAAATTCCAACATATGAATACCGGTTAAGGAGGGTTAATTGTAATGCCTATTACACATACTTTATACTATTACTTTATACTATTTCACGAGGAAAGCTGTTCTATTAATACAACATGTCTCACGGTTATTTAATATTTGAAAATCCGCTAAAGATCTCAGACAAACTTCAAGAAGTAAATAAGTTTATTGCGAATAATTGAAAGTTGTCACGAAGAATAGGGCTTGTCGCGAGTGGTGATCGCACGATCGACGCTCTCAAAAGACAAACATTAGAGACGGAATTATAAATAAAATAATTATCACAGCTAAAAACAAACAATGAGAATAAAAGCGTGACAGTATTTCTATTGAAATCAATATAACAATATTTGTAATTTAGCAATTTGATTTGTAATAATCTTTAAAGTGTCCAATTGCCTTTTTACCGGAAGCTCGTCTATTTATTGGGATGATTGTCCTAATTCTATTTATTGTAAGTGTATCTAAATCTATTTTTTTCATTTTTTTTTATCAAAAAACGTGTGATTTTATTGTAAACTCGCGCGTGTTTTTTTGAGCGTAAGGTGGCATCATCAACGAGCGTTCAAGATACGGGGGCTATACCCACCGCCGCTGCTCACACACATATATCACATGTAAATCGAGCGGCGCAGTTAATTTACATACACGAGGGTTATCTCCGAGCTGCGAGCGAGAGAGAGAGAAAGATGAGTAAGAGAGCGAGCTTTTTTCGAGCTAGATTTCAGCAGCCAAGCGATTGGCGTGTGCGTGTGTCAGCCGAGCTGGCCTGAATCGCACACAGATGTATCTATATATGTTTTGTACCAGCGAATAAAGACGCGATGTTAATTAGCGGCAACGAGTTGCACTGGACGCGCGCGTTCCCGAGTCAGCCAATCGCCCGACGAGCGATTACACTTTTCTCGTGTATAACACGGGCTTTTAATACGCCGTACGTTGCAGAATTATTATTACTCATGGAAAAAAAAGGGAAAAAAAACACAACTCGTTCGCAATCGTCAACGCGAGTATAACTGGCATGGAGTTAATATCTGCGCGCAGATTTTGTCGTATGGCGTCCTGCACAGTACGACATTAATGTTCAGGTATAATAATTTTTTTCTCTCATCGCGCGTGCACAAAAAAATGGTTGCGAAATTCATATACGAAAGATAACTCGGTGCGCGATTCATCGATCGATCTATGTGCGCACGAGCGCGAATATGTGTGCGTAATATATAGCGTTTAATGCGTCGCTCACGATGTCTCCGCCTTCGTGTTGTACGTGCATGTGTACATCATGTCTTAGATGTATGAGTCGTTGCACAAAAGTCACGCGTATTCGTTAAGAGAGGTAGATAGTGGGCCTATACACATATGCGTATGCTGGCGAGCTGCTGCTGTGGCTGCTGCTGTTGCTCCGTCTCTGCGTGACCCCAAAGGTTATCGCCGACCTCTTTGCTCTCTCGGTTCGTCGCGCTCGCTACGTTTAATATACGTAAATGTATACGCGCGGAGCATCGCCTACGGTATACGATATACAGTGAAATCCGCTTATTATGGCCACGTCGGGACCAAGGCTTTTGGCCATATTAAGCGGCGGACCATAATGTACGGCGGACAATTATTATATTTATTTGATTATAGTACATACAAATTTCGGACATCGAATAACCGAAATAATCGTTAATTTTTTTTGCCGATTATTTTTAGTCAAAATTGTGTCAATATAATTTTCTTATCATCTGCATAAAACTGTACTTTAACGAACATTTACAAACCCTTTTTTTTAAAACTTTTTCAACGTCAGCATCGTTTCGAATTCTTTGTACACCTCGATTGTCCTTAGCAATAGCAGAATTTTTTATATCACTTCTATTTGATAGTATTTTAGAAAAGTTTGAAGCCCTAGTCTCGTTTACATACGCGCGTTTTATTGTACTTTTGGATCCAGAAAAAAATTCGACGCAGTTAGTTTTTTCTTTTATCGTATACTTACAGTAGCAGCGGGCAGTGTGGGCATCGGCTGGGATACGGGCTCGAGACCGACGCGCATACGTTTGGCGTTGTCGCTCTCGTTCTCGCAGGCCGTCGCCAGGATTTGCTCGGCCTGCACGGAAGTCAGGTGGGCCGGAGTGGGTCTTGCCGCGTCCCACGAGGCGCCCTCCCTGCCGCGCTTGTTCCGCCTGCAGCTCTTCAGATACGTCCTGATGCGTTTCCGGGCGCGCTCCGCGAACTCCGGGAACTGGCGGGTGCAGCTGTCGATGATCGCCTGGATCTTCTCCTTGGGCTGCTTCGAGATAGGCGTCATGCGGTCCAGATTCTCGTCCACAAACAGGCGCACGAACATCTACGCATTTTTTATTTCATTCGTTATGATATAATGTGAAAAATTCGAAGAGATCGGTATCTCGTACTAACGTTAAAAGCTTTGAGCCGCTCGGGATCGTGATGGCGTGGATCGAGTCGCTCGTCCACGTCCTCGTCGTCGTCGTCCTCGTCCTCTTTGTTGCCGCTGCTGCTTGTCTCGTCGTGGGCGCTTCCGGCTCCCTCGCCGGCGGGGCTGAGCTCGCGGTCGCGATCGCGCGACGGTGTCCCGGAGCCCGGGGGTGGCGTCTTCTTCAGGCTGATTTGGTAATTGGCCCAGAGCGTGGCCATGTCTTCGCCGTTGGGCCCGACGGCACCGCCCGGAGTCGTGGCCGAGCCGCTCGACGCCGAGTTGACGCTCTGGCTCATGTCGTTCGGCTCGGAGTTGCCGTTGCGAGAATCTGCAGGCGAGAAAACGAGAATGAACATGGTTAAAGTTGACGGATGATGGATATAGGTGACGACGCGTAAAAAGTGAAAGTTTCATGTAATCGAAGATATAATGAAAACATTTCACCGGAATACTCTACTCGAATAAAATAATGGAGCCAAAGGTAAATTACAGGGAGATCCAGTTTCATATTTGCGTGTCGAGTTCCGTATGGATCGTTGCCTGTATTTCAATTTCCAAAAAATATTCACCGGAAGTTCTCCGGTGATTTTTTCATTGCTCTTGAAATGATTTTTGAACGCCAATATGCTACAATTAATTAATGTAGAGGTGATGTGAACAGAGTACCCAGATGCTATTTCCACGAATTCACGATGTATATCGAAGCCGCATAGCGCACTCAAACATTCACACACATACACGCACACGCATGCTTTGTAGCTTTTACCAACGTGTAATCGTCAGCGTTTAATTAGGTAATCAAGATATTCGAGCGTGCACACATAGTATATGCGGCTTGGGCTTTATAATATACAGCATGTACGCATATATGCGTTATATATACCGCCGCTTTGGCGTATATACGAAGAGAGAACACCGCGGGTGTATGCGTATATGTGCGTGCGCGATTCTGTATGATATACGAATAATAGCTATTACCTATTACGTTATTAGCGCTAATTATTTTAATGAAGTGCCGGGCACGCGCTATAATCTATTCATGCCTCGTATTATATTCGCAGTGTGCATTTGTGCGTCCCGAGAGTTCGTTCGTTTATTCGTTCGTTCGTTCGTTCGTACGAGCTATATGAGCGTGGCTACGCGCAGAGAAATTGCAATAAGCGGGCGCGTACATAGGCTATTATTTAATACCTAATAAATACATTAACGGCCGAGTGACGCGCGCGCGAGCGATCGGCCTCTCCTGTAAAATGCACAGACGAAAAATAGTTTTTTTAGCTTCTTTTGTTTTTTGCTTTTCTAAATTGTGCATATAAACGCGTGTCGAGCGTACCGAACGAGCTCGTACATACGTACACCGTTTTGGTGTCAACGGCGTTCAGATCTACGAGCGGTGATAAAGAGTCACGCCGGTGGAGTCACGATTGCCTTTTTTTAGCTCGAATAATAACGTACTCGTGCGTCGGAGAGGAAAAAAAATACACAGGAAAAGAGCGAAAATGAATATTGGAGCTGGAACATGCGAGGTGTAAAATTGTATGCCATGGACTTGTTTTGAGTCATGACAAATGCATCGGTCTCTCGGTACAGATGGAAAAACAAAAATGAAGGAAATATGAATAATAATGAGAATTACAGGGAAATCTGCTTGAATCGAAACTTTGGTCATTAATTATCTGGTGCGTCAAATTTTTTTCTATTTTTAAATTCGTGGATTTTCGAAGTATGATTTGACGTATCTTGTCTAAGCAAGCATATATTCTTTTGGATTTTTTTTCATCGTGCATAGAGTAGATAAAGGAATTTAGTCATTTTCTGTTTAATCGTTAAGTTTTTGTATTTTGAAGAGCGTACATCAACGGAAAAATTGAGATAAAAACGTGAGATAAAAGAAATAAAATACGAAAAGTTCAGTATCTGATTTATTTTGTCATCATATAGAGTTTCCAAGGTAAAGCTCTTTAAATGATCAATGGGCTAAGCTCAAAATTGTGTGATAGAGCAGTACATTCAGTAGCCAAGAAAAAATGTATGACGACTTCAAGAACGAGATTTCCTGTATTCAAAGTATTCATGCCTCGGGCTCAATTTGTATACAAGATTATACAGATTTCGATAGTAATTAGTGTTAATCTCTTTATTTCACTACTGTAATACGCATTTTTGACATTAGAATATCGAAGCACGATAATGATTGACTTATTGCCATATTACATTCGTCGTACTTACCAGTGAGGGTCGAAGAGGTGAGATTCCCCGAGGACGATGTATTGACGCTGCTGACGTTGATTCCGGACGACACCGGCGAGTTGGCGTTCAATTGCTGCTGCTGCGTCGACGAGGTCTGGCCACCGTTGCTTGCCATACCAGCTGTGGCGCCGTTGGCCGGTGACAGGGCGCTGGCTATGCCGTTGCCCGTTCCACCGCTGCTACTGTTGCTGACGATTCCGCCGCCGTTGCTCAACTGTTGCTGGGCGGCAGCTGCGACGGCCGCCGCCGCGGCTTGTGGACCCACCAGGCCGGGCGGTACGACGCCGCCCTGCTGCTGGGCCTGGTGCTGCATCTGATAGTTCCACGCTAACAGCATCAGCTTTAACTTGTCCGGATCCTTCATGAGTACGCCTGTTTTGGAAAATTAAATGATGCAACTCGATGTATATTTGCAAGACGATACAGAATCCCTGGTAGAAATACTCAATATATTTGGCTAGTTTTTAGCGAACTAATAATGATATAATAATTTCTCGAAATATTCAATATCAAATACGTTCGTGCATCAAATCGAACGCAAACACTTTTGCCTTTCGACTAATGCTTCGAATCTGTTGTACGTGCCGAAAAGATCGATCGAAAATACCTCGAATGCGAGAGTCAATAAAATAGAGAATAAAATAAGAAGATTAACTCTACGGGCCAATAATTACAATAACAGAATCTTTCGCACCTCGAGACCACGCGAGAACCCGACTACATTCGTACAACCATGACACTTTTCAATTTAACGTGAGAACGGCGTGCAGGTAAGAAATCGATTATCCTGTTATATACAGCGCGGGCGAAAACAAAAGGTAGAATTGAGCCGAGCTTATTAAAGGCACAGGTGTGCGCGCGTTCGAGTATATATATGAGTATAGAAATAGTCACGTTCCGAGAGTTACAATAAGGATAGAATATAATAGGCAAAGTGTGCAACTTATCTATATACGTATACTCACTCGAATAATGGTCGTCCTCTGATATGTCAGATGGCTCTGGAGTCGATATGTTCTCCTGCAACAGACATAAAAACAATGGAACTTAGATTATAATTTATTCGCACGATGAAAAAAGGATTGAAAAAAATGTTTTCTCATTAAAACGTATTATATTATTATATTATACTCAATCATCTTGCAAGTTTTCAGGGACAGCACGAAGAATAGATATTATTATATCGAACAACTAATATATAAAGCTGAACACGAAGCGCGAAGGGCAGGGGACCTCGAGCGATTGTAGCTGATGATGATTGTGGCAAGCCACTTAACACATTCATCTCTCTCGAGCTTATGGGTTTATAATATGGGCGCAGCATTTCTTCCAGACACCTTTACCTTATTGCTTATTTTACATCGCTTTACGTATGTGGGGCAAATTTTCTGAACAGGAAAAATAAACTCAACGGTTGATTTTCCATTTTCGAAATCAGTATTGAATTTGATGTGAAATACAGTGAAATCCGTTTATTATGGCCACGTCGGAACCACGGCTTTTGGCCATATTAAGCGGCGGACCATATGTACGGCGGACAATTATTATATTTATTTGATTATAGTACATACAAATTTTGGACATCGACTAACCGAAATAATCATTCATTTTTTTTGCCGATTATTTTTAGTCAAAATTGTGTTATTATAATTTTCTTATGAATAATGAGTTGTAAAATCATCTGCATAAAAGTGTACACTAACGAACATTTACAAACCATTTTTTTGAAAACTTTTTCAACGTCAGCATCGTTTCCAATTCTTTGTACACCTCGATTGTCATTAGCAATTGCAGAATTTTTTATATTGCTTCTTTTTGATAGTATTTTATCAAGTTTTGACCGCGAAATATCAAAGCTCTTAGCTATTTGCCGTTGATATAAAGATGAACCCTCATTATCGTTACACTTTTTCAATAATTTGAACTTATCTTCGATTGATAATCTTCTCTTCATGGTGAAAATTTCTTGTCTGTTACGTTGTTCATAGATTGATGCCGAACTCAAAACTGATGTAAATGTTTACGTTATTAGATATTTGAACATGAATTTTCGAACTATGTTTGGCCAAATTCACCGCCAGAGTGTCTATTATAACCGACTGATTTTTTGTATATTTATATCGAATAGGACCGAGACCGGGGGTTTTGGCCAAATTTAACGGCTGGCCATATTATCCGTGGACACGATAAGCGTATTTCACTGTATCTGATAATTTGAAAAAAAGTTCGGGTGACTTTTTCAACATTGTTTTAAATAGAGCCAATTGATCTCTCCAAATTTTATGAGAGCGATAATGTACTCCAACTCATAATAGCCCCAGCACAATAACAATCGAGCGAGTGGATGCAGCCAATTAATATTATGAATTCTCTTTAGAAACTATACAATATATGGAAAATCTATGTTAATCTCTGCTCAGATGAGCCCTACCCTCGTTCAACTATGAATTAAATTTTACATAAAATCATAATAATGAATATCGAGCGAGTATACGGACACTTCCTTGCGTGTATTTTAACAATATTTAATTTGGAAAGAATATAAACGATTGGTTGAAAGAAAAATTAATCGCTTTCATTTGTAGGGACAGTGGCATTTGTCAAATAGCGTACAGAACACCCGTGCAAAACGAGAGGTGCATGCAATTTTTATGGTAAATACCTATAAGGAATGATGTCATATTATAGTGGCGTCGAGGCCTATAACTAGGGAAAATTGAAAAGAAAACTACGGCGAATTGCGTTACGTACGTATACGAAAAAAAAGCAACATCATAGGAAGACGTTCTGCTGTGAATTATGATTGTCGTCGTAGTTGTCGACGTCGTATAGGAGACACATAGCTCTTATAATATGCGCTTGCGTAAGCTCTCCCCGTGCCGGCCAAGTTTTATATATTTTGCCTCGCTCTTCGCCGCCGCGTGTGTATACATGTACGTGTGGTTTTCATGTGTGCAGCATACGTATAAGAGAACATTGCGCGACCTGATATATTCTTGCAGGCTATCTCAATGGAAAAACTCACAGCAGCAGCAGCAGCAGCAGCAACAGCAATACGCAGCGGTCTTATGCTATACAGTGGCGTAAATAAATTGCGTGCGAGCTCGTGCGACAATCGAACTGCGCAAGCTTTCGTAATAGCACGCATTGGCCGCGCTTTGATATGTACTATATATACTCGCAGTTTGATTGATCAAGTCGTGGGAATAACATAACGACTAACGCCGATATTTTCTCGTAATGTCGTATACGATTCCGAGCAAAAGCACGATCGTCACGAAAATTTAATGCCTTTTCTGTTTTTTTTTTATATATCACGTGGCCTCGACGCCCATGGCAAGTGGAAGTGAAGTTGAAAAAAAAAGAAGGAAAAATAGTCAGTACGTCGGTGCTTCCTAATCATATCAGGCCGGGTATGCACGCATGCATACATGTATGTACGCAGCTTCCTCACCGAGAACACTGCAATTGTCGCTGCAGCCGCATTTGGTCTCTCTCACTCACTCTTTCTCTCTCTCTCGTGAGCGCGTCCGAGGAAGGAGAGTCAGCGAGGCGCGTGCAAAACTGCAAATGTGCATTGCCCTCTGCTATATATTAAACGTACAAGGCACGCATATTCCCCTTTCAGCTTGACTCATATGCTTTTTCTTTCTCTCTCACTTCTGTGAGTGAGTGAGTGCAAGTGTGGTGCATACGTGTGTGTGCGGCTTTTATATACACACACAGGCTTGCTTGCGCGCGGCCGGCGAGCAGTTCACCTACGCGATACCGTAACTCGCGCGCGCTCGCTCGACTTAGCCCATATAGTTCTCTTTCTCCTTCGCTCGCTTCGCTTCCGGCGGATGTACCCTGATAAATGGGGAATCCTCTCCGTGGCCGAGCCATATAGCAGCGAGAGTGTACGTATATATCGAGTATATGGCATATAGTACACACCGAGAAACGCTGCACCTTTTTCTTCGTTCTCCCTTTTGCTGCTGCTGCTGCCTTTTGCTTCTTCATCCATCCAACATACATCTATCATCGTCGCGGTCGTCGTCGTTGTGGTCGTCGTAGTCGTCGTCATATTTTTCTTAGCATTCGTTTATATATATATACGTGTGTGCGGTGCCTGCAGCCTGTGGTGGCATATATACAACTCATCGCGCGAGCGAGAACGAGTGCGACGCAGCGTAACACGTTTGACAAAGAAAACTCCACGCATCGAGTTTATATAGATTTGTTTAGTTAGCCGTTCGCTTGGGTGCATTTTTTTTATAACATAACTTGTCTGTGTGTGTGTGCGTGTGTGCGTGCGTGTATGCAAGCGAGCAATTAGGCCACTTGACAGATCGGTATACTCCGTGTTGGTGCTACATGTGCGTGCACACACCAATTGTTTGCGTCTCTTTTGCGCCGAGTGCAAAGTCTCTCGGGCATGCCAGAGAGAGAGAGAGAGAGAGAGAGAGATCGCGCGGGAAGGAGAAAAAGAGAAAAAGAGTAGAGAGAGGATTCCTCGTTACGAATTGCACGTGACGATGAGCGCTTGCGAGGGAGAGAGAAACGAAGAAAGAAAGAAAGAAAGAAAATAAAAGATCGCGAGCGTCGAGCCGAGTCGTTGAGAGAGATCGAGGGGGAGGAGGAGGAGGAGGGCGACGACGACGACGATGATGATGATGATTTGCGAGTTCTGTTCCACGGACTCTTAACTCTTAATAAATAAGCGGTACTACCGATCATCGTAGTCGTAGTCGTTGTCGTCGTTTTATTTTCCTCTCTTTCTCCTTACTTTGCCTCAACTTCGATTTTTCTCTCTCTTTTTTCTCTTTCAAGCGCTCCGACTTTATAATATAGGCCCACATTTGACGGAGGATAGTCGCTCAAAGCTTCTGCAGTTCAGATACGCTCGAGTCTCTTTCCCTTTCGTATAAATAAGCCATGCTGCTGCTGCTGCTGCTCGACTTTGCCTCGCTTATAATACAAGTATAACGTATACACACCGAAGACGTTGGGTTATACATATTGGCGACTACTCGGTGCAAGGAGAGATGCCGAGCACACACAAGGAGCGATGATTATTCATCTCAGGCTCGTGTGTTGCTGCTGCTTCGAGTCTGTATGGCCGTGTGTGCATGTGTGCCTTGTATTATATGCGTTCAAGGACTTGATGCGGTATACATATAACATAACACGTGTACCCTAATGCAGACACACATACACGAGAGAGCTTGATCACAGTTCGAGCCGAAAGGGGGAATCGTATATAATATAAGCTCGAGTCAGAAGAGCAGCTCCTTTATTTTACCAACGTATTATATACCGTATACGTATACGTTTGTCAGAGGCCTTTCGTATTTGTGCGCGGCAGCTTTATAACACAGAGAAGATAGATAAAGTCTATTCTCTCATGTACACTCCTCGATCGGCAAAAGTCCGGGAATATACACTACGTACGTATACGTGCCAGTTTATTGGAAAATAAAATCGCGCGTCGCGGCCACGGTATATAGCCGCTTAATGAACGCACACATCGCAATGCATATAACTACTGCAGGCGTACGTTGTGCACACGCGAGAGCGACAGATAGACGTCGTGGCGCGCTCACGGGTTCAAGCAACACACAGAGAGATAGAGAGAGAGAGGAGTGTTATGCATTTGACCGCATTGACAATAAGTACGCGCGTTGCGCAGTTCGCTCGTACCTTAACTCGGTGCAGCTACGAATGCAGTACTGTGCAGTGCAGTGCGGTATACGCTGCTAGGCACAATATATATTCGCGCAATATAAGCGACGATGCATGTGTCTACGTATTTTCTCTCTCTCTCTCACTCTTTTGTACGGATTATACGTATATATGTATGAGAGTTGACCCGACGAGCGTCTTTACACAACGAGGGACAATTGGGCGTAACAGTCTTGGGGTCTTTGCATCGTCGTCGTCTATCTATCTCCTCTCCGGCCGTTAGCGTCGTCTCTCTCTCTCCTCTCTTACTTACTCGCTCGGCTCTCTTCGGACGGCAGTCAGTCAGACTCTTCTTC